TGAAATTAAAATTAAAATTAAATATCAATATCATCTATGTTCATTCGTGAATAATTGTTATGCTGAAGTTGTGTTTTAATTAAGTTAAAAATACAAAAATATATATATTTGTTTGTATAGATTTTGAATTCTTTATATTATTTATTAGCAAAATGATCATTTTTTTTTTAAATGTCTTATATAAAATGAGTACATAAATTTATTATTTTACTGGAAAAAAAAAACTAGTTCATGCGTAAACAGGAGAGTCCAACAAAAATATAATTCCTTTATACATATTTTATGAAGATATTACGTGCCTAATTCATTATATTTTTGATAGATACTAATCATTTATTGATGATATTACTAGCTATATTTTTACACGATTACGTCAAAGGAATATAACTAAAAAATAATTATTATAATTCAATTCCAATAACATAACGTATTACTTTTATAGTTTTTTTTTCGCGTTAGTAACATTGTTAAACTTTAGAATAAATCAAATTTCGTACATCAATTTTTTATAACCTTTTGATGTTCAAGAATAGGTTTCTATTTTTTTCTAAAACGTTCACCTTTGTACTGCAAATAACCTGCTGTGGATGGAGAATATTTTTAAAATCTCAACTACCTACTTCTGTTTCATTTTTTTTTTTTTTTTGATTCTGAGCAGAGAGATGGATGTATTGATTTTACAATAAAGTGTGTGTGTGTGTGTTTTTTTTGTGTCCAACATCATCTTTTGGAGTATAATATCTTTTATCTTCTATTATATATCTTTTCAGTTAAGGAAATTAATTAAGATGGTACTAGTAAAATTTAATAGTACTTTTCTTATAAATTATGAAAAACAAAAAAAAGTCAGATTAAAATGAGGTACATAAAACCAGTTTTCAACAATATGGATTTTATATTTGATTGTAATTATAAAAAAAACCTTGATAATTGAAATTTTCACCAAATGTTCAATTTAGAATTGTTCACTCATTTTATAGTTAAATATTTTACTCTTTTAAGCTTTTCATAATTGACATTTTCGATTTATTTTGGATTTATTTTCTATTAATATCAATAGAAAATATCGGTTTATCAAAAATCTTGTAAATGTAACACAAGGTTCCTCATAAGTTGTTCATACTGAATCAAAAAGATCTGACAATTATTTGAAAAAAAAAACAATTTGTTTGGGTAGACATTTAAATTTACAACTTTCACGAAATAAAATATTAATATTAAACAAAGAATAACGATCTTAGTTATTTTGTTGTAATTAAAAAATATTATTCGTGTAGTTATAAAAACTGTTACGTAGGTATATTAAATAATATTTAAAAAATTTAGATTCATTTTATGTAATTGCATATTTATATCTCAAAAACATTCACACGGTTCTACGGTAAGTTAATATCGACTCAAAAGTTAATAATGATAATAATGTATGATTTAAATAATGTATATCTACTGTTATGGTAATTAAATATTAATAATGTGAAAAATTCAATACCTACTTTTGGAAATAATTAGTTTAAATTTCGACTTACCTCATGTCCTTAACCACTGTAGCAGCTACATAAAATAATATATATCATAAAATATATATACTTAGTAGGTACCTACCTAATATAAATGCTGGCACACGGTCTCGCTCGGAGTGGTTTTACGTATGCAATGTTTTATGATTAAATTCAAATTGAATACAGGCATTACACTATTACAGGGACTCACTGAATGACGTGGTAGGTTCGATTCTATTACTGTACAGCAGAGTGGTCTCAATGGTCATCTAATGTCCCCTTTTTGTACACCCATAATCCGCTTATAATTTGTTCACCTGTTTCAGTAATCAGTTTATTATCATTTTTTGTATGTAAAGTTCTTACTTCAAGGAATTCATATTGCATTTTAATGGTATGCATTCATCCATGACTCGTATTTTATAAACATTCTTTAACACGCTTTTGTTTCAATTTCTAATTCCACGGCGATGGCGTAAAAACCATTAAGCAGAATCGATAAAACGGTATTTCTTTATTTATGGTATATCAAGTTTAATGAATGAAAATACTTATTTTAAAAATAATATGTATATTTGCGACAAGTAGACAATATTATAACTGATATTATTATTATCTTAAATTGAAAATAACGTTCTTAGATACGTGCTACTAGTTATAATGTATTATATAGTACAGTACTCCAGTGAGACTACAACTGACAACAAACAGCAATCGTTTTAAAAATAAAAACACTCGAGAAGTATACTCATATGTACTTGTTCCGTATGACCTTGTGTGTACCGAATACCTGGCAAATACATGATATATCTACCTACATTATAAGCGTATAATACGGGCATAAAAAACATACGACTCACTCATCCGTGATACGTATAAAAAGCGCAATAAAAGCTATCAATCTATGCGGGGTATAAAAATGTATAAACACATTATGTGTTGTGTACTTGTGTACACGGTGTATACTTAAAGTGAATCCATATATTATTATATTCGCTTTTTATCGAAATCGCGTCAAGGTAAAAAAACGTTCTCAACACACATGCCTATCTCTCAGTGTGCTATATAAATATATAATATTATACTATACGGCCTGAGGAATAAATGTCGTGGACAGCGAAATAATAAAGACATTAAATCCAATACGCATAAGTAAAATTATATCAGAGGAGTAATGGTACCCGGTAGGTACCTACGAAACATTACGCGGACGACTCTAAAATACGACGACGACGCCTGAAACAGTATAGTGACATCATGTACTATCATACATAATACCCAGTGAATGTTGTGTCCGACCATAATAATAATAATAATAATATACATTACTTATAACGTTTTAATAAGTCTAAGGATATGGTTCGAAAGACAAGGTCTGTGGCACAGGGTTTTCAGCCGAGTCGTTCATATGACTAACTTTTTCATTCTTTTCAATAATTTGAAGGTTAGCTAATTTAAATTATATAATATAACAATTCAATGTCGATGAAATTAGATTGACAAAAACATATTTTTTCATATTTTAAGCTAAAGTAAAATTTAAAGGTAGGTAATCGCAATAATTGGTATACCTACTAACATCCTAGACCGTATTAACTATTTTTTTATTTGTTTATTTTACAAGTAAATAACTTCAAACAAATTTTATCTCTGAGCTCAAATACTCAATAAAATAAATTTTATTTAGTAAAAAATTAATGAGCTTACTCGTCTAATTTTGCTGCACATACTTTCTTTTACGATACATATAAATACATAAACCAGACATAATATATATTATGAAGTCTATTAATATTATTTCAAACTCATGGTATATCGTATATTATTCTATATCTATAAGTTATTGTAATAATTAACGGATAAGGATATATTATAATTATATTTACATACATAATATTATCATCCTAAAAATATACCAAAACGTTTATTATTTGTTGTATAAATAAATAGCATAGATGCCTAAAAATAAATAGGAAATTAAAAAGCACAAATAAATGTATCATGTTTTCAAATTAAAGCTTTGTAAAGTCTTTATTGCTTACTTTTACTGATAGTACAATTATTAAAATAATATTATAGTTTACCATGTGAACAACACGTCAAAATGCACATATTATGTGCACAAACACAAAAGTAAAGCACTATAATATAGTCACTAAACCGTCTACATCAGACGACATCAACACTATAATATTATTATGTCGATGAAATCAATGATAAAAGCTTATTTAATATTAAATATAAATTATAATCCAACTATAAACTATAGAGTATTTACTATTTAGAAGCCGTACGTAGTAATTGTATAATATGCGCAGGTAGCGCATGCCAGTATAATAATATTATGTTGTGATAATAGTATAATTTTCAAAATAGCACGTAGGTACCTATTACGAAAACAAGGCCTACAAAACCACAACGGCATTCTCTCACAATTAGTTCCTAATAATCATTTTCTTAGATTTCATTACTCTATGTCATGAGCTAAAATAATTTATATTTAATATTTATTCAACTAAATATTTTATTTTCATTTTATTACAAACGATATTATCGACTTGTTGTTACCACCCTTCAATGTTTTTCCGCTCTTGCCGCTCGGAACGACTGCTGCTTTTTGCTCCCACTTTCTTGATGCTCCCCTACCAACAGTTAACTGTAAGATAAAAGGAGGGCAATTATTGGTACACTGATCCTGAAATACGAATATTGTTTTAGACGTAACTCGTTTCAGAGTTCTTCTGTTTTAGACGTAAAGGTCCATGACTGGAGGAATACATTTTTTAAATAATGAAATAATAAATTAATTTTATAGCACATACTGACATACCTATTGTAGCTATCGTTATATTAGAAACGTATAGTTATCTGGTACCTTCAAAACATTACACGGCCGACTCTAGAAAACGACAATATTTGCAACAGTACCTATAGTGACATCATGTAGTATATTATACGCAGTGAATGTTGTGTACGCGCATAATAATAATAATAATAATAGTATATTATGTATTATGTGTTTCCTATACAAGCTCACTCCAGGAGTACCTACCTATATAACAATGTGACCTAGAAAGAGCAGATTTCGCGCGTTCGTTCACGTCGTCGTCGTCGCTACTTCCTATTATCCGAAACTCGCATAATATATCGAATGGGAGGGGGGGGCGGACACTATCCTATTCATAATGGGAACTTGTACATAATATGATATTATGGATAGGAGTTTAGGACTATACCACTACCTTCCCGCTGACCACCACTGTTACTGCCATACAATATACGCACTACTACTACCGTCTACAACGGTCTACAACGTGAGCGAAGGGTATACCTGCTATTATAATACTCTCCAGGAGAAAAAAAAAAATTGGCCGCAATAATGATTCGGCGACACTTATTGGGCATAATACGGCCGTGTGGAATGAAGGAGAAAGTTGAACTCGACCTCGGACCGGTATGTTACTTAATCGTGGTAGAGTATTACGTACTGACGCATCAGTTATTATAGGTGGGCTCAATGCAACAGGTACTCGAGGCACGCGGCTACGTTCAGTGTATGATGTACACGCAGTCGCGCAGCCGTAGTCCGTCCAACGATATATCGGACAGTAGTTATGAGAACTTTTGATACGATTTATTCGGTATACGGGTGTGTTATGTAAAAAATCAAAATCGAATAACTTTTAAATATAGGACACACGTGGACAAGGTCGTTGGTAATCATTTCAACGTACGTCAATACCTTCCGTTTCAAGACATTTGCGTTTTACTAAAATATTGGTCTACCTGCCAACCAACCTACAATATAATATTATAAAGCACATTTGTAATTTAAAATAACGGATAATATACGATATTGTAATAATTAAGTTTTGGTGAAATAAAGATATATGAAAAAAAAATTTTTATAAGTACCAGCAGTATCGATTGAACTGTCTCAATTGCTTACAACTAATATTAAATATCACAATTACTCATAATTAATAATTCAGTTCAACTACACGCTCGCAGTTTTTTTTTGCGATTCTAAATATGATTTCAATGTGCTTACATACTTTAAAAGTGTAACAACTATTGTAGACAGTTAACAATTTTTTTTGTTTAAAATAAATATGTTCATTACAAAACCAAAATGGATCGAAAAGGTCACGGTGGAACCAATGCTCTTTTTGTACTTTGTAACATTGGCCATTTCAGCTTTGGTAAGTACTCATAAAGTTTATAATATTAAGCAAAGGTATCAGGTTTTTCATTTTAAAAACAAATTCGTTCATCGTTTTTACGTTACAGAACTCTTGCGTTATAGTTTTTTTTAGAATTAAAACGTTTTGGATTTTTTACATTTAACGGGCGTCACGTGTTGTTACCGTTTCCCTAAAAAATAACATTGCACATTTTGTGTGAAGAAAAATTCGTTTAACTCTGTTACGTTTAATAAAAGAGCAAATTTAAAGAAAAGGCCTGGTCACCTTGTAAGGCTTTATTATTCTTACTATTTCAATTTTGAAAAGTTGTGAGTAATTTAAAATTGTAAATTGTTTATAAATGATCATAACTTAAGTTAACAAAATGCTACTGCGTAATATGATACGGGACCACAACGGGTACTTGGGTTTGAGTGTAATGTTAAATGCCTATTCACTATAAATAAAATTACCGATAATATTAAAAATGTAACAATATTATTTAATTGGTAATGACGTAATGACTAGGAAATAATGCTTAGATTTTTTGCTGAGATAAAAATAAATCGTGCGAAAATACAGGGTGATTCACCAAAATTATTCAACCCCATTTTTTATGTGAATAATGAATTAATTCAAATTCTGATTTTTTTAGAATTTGTAAATATATACTTAAAAACCATGTATTCAAAATTCTTGAGTTTGTTTGTACTACTCAAGGAGTGTCCTGTGTTGATGTAAACTTATTTGTTTTCAAAATGAGAACTCCTCTTTGTAACTGTAAATCATTTAGTGCATAATTTAAACATACTTTTTGATACATAAATATAAAATGGTTTTTGTTGTTTCTTTTTGTGTTATTTTTTATTTAATAATATTCTGTATACTCTGTTAACCATTATGTTGTGTCTTGCAGTATTTAATTTGTATCGGTTATCGTTTTATTTACATTTAAAAGTGTAATCTTATTTTTTCACGTACCTGTAAGGTACCTTTGCATGCCCTGGACTAGGTGTTCATTGTGTGTAAAAACATTTTCATGAAGATTTTGTCTTTAAAAAAATAAAAATCATTGTTAATATGTTTTTCTATTATTTTTTTATTATTTTGATATTCATTGATGTATTTAATACACCGACGAGTGAGAAAAGTCATGATTCATGACTCATAAACATTTTAATTTTTGTCACGTGTGTGATTGTTTAAAGGTTTCACTAAAATTTCATATTATCTTAGTATAGGTTGTAAAAAATTAACAGCCAACCATAGTGAACTAAAAATGGTAATTAATTGTATTCTAAGGAAAGAATACATGGGACTGAAATATTGAAAGAATATCTTGTTTCTTGGAATTCTTGCCGTAGTTTTAGATTTTTTAAATTAAAATTTTTTTGGAATTAACCTTATTGATTACTCAATATACTTTTCATCATAAAAACAATAAGTTTGTTTTGATAACACTAAAAATGAAGTATAAAAATGTTCATTGTTTAATCTTCTTTGAATTTTTACGCTCTTCCCGAAAACAATATTTCACATCATTTTGATATTTTATCATATCCACAATAATACATACATATAATGTAAAATAAATTGCTACTTAATAATAAAATATTATAATTGTATTATATTTTAATTAAGTAGTATAATAATTGTTTTGTCCATCTGATCTACTGCCTATGTAAGTCCTGTGAAAACTAAAAATTACTATAGGTACAATAGGTAGGTACTAGAACTAGGTACTACTGTGCATAAACAAAATATACCTAACTAAGTCTTACGAAGACAAACTTTGGAGCCGTTCGTGACTTATATGGTTTATAGAGGTATGTAATTCATCAATCATGTTCACTTCCATTTTCCACTTTTACTATAAATTATTAAGTAGATTATTTTTTTATTATTTTAAATTTTGTACCAAGTACCTCCTAGCTATATAAATTGACATTTCAACGAGTAGCTTTTAAGTTATTAAGCGTTATAACTTATGGGTAATATGTGCTATGGATAAAGCACTTGTCTTGAATATTAGTCATAAATAGAATATAAAATAGGTAATATATAGATATAATACCTTGACTAGTATTTGAGCTTATTACAATTTAACAAAAAAGATACTATAAAACGCCCATAGATCAATGCGAATTACTATAATTTTCAATTTTCAAACCGTCACAAACTCTATATCAATAATCTCAGACATTCTGATCATGGATTTAACACATGATGTTTGATAACTCAGAACTACCTGTTCGAGGATTTATTTATATAAATCAACATTTAAACCAAAATTTTCTGCTTTAATACTTGCAGTAAAAAAGTGTTTATGGATTGAAAAATAGAAATTAGTAACGCCTCAAGACACTTTTTAAATGGCATCAATAATCTAAGTATTTAAAAATATTTTTTTTAAAGTAGTTTTTATTGACTCAGTTATATTATAATATTATAACATAGTAAGTTCTTGATGAAAATGAACCATAATTCTAGATTGGGCAATGTAGTTAAATTAATTCGACTGCTGACCGCATTTTAGCGCGCTCACATAAATAAATACGGACACACTCCTCGGTGATATAATTATGTTATTATATATTACTTTCTTCTACTCTAAGTACAAATACTCTAAGTACAAAAATATGCATATCTACAGCATCATACTTATTCCATCGGCAAAGTAAAATGAAAAGTATACAAACGCATTAAGTTAAAAGCAGAGAGTAACGTAGATGGTCCGATTTTTTTCCCAAGACGATTAAATTTTTGAAATCAAATTAAGTACAATATAAATAAACGCAAAAAATCGAAAAAAAATATTTAAAATTCCCACGCACACGACGTATAATTCGATGAAGCGAAAAGTTTTACTCGCGGCCGGGAAGAGGAAGAGTAGCTCCCTTTACGTGGTATTTATTCCTCCTTCTCGCTTGTTCAAACTCAACAAACTTCTAGGAGAGTATCATTATTTTATACAATATAAAATATACTCTCAGCTCGCATAACAACGTTTACGGTTTAGCGAGCCTGTTCTCGGAACAAAAACCTAGAGGTAGGTAGGCAATCAAAAAATGATATTCGATCGTTAACCAAACAAAAACGGAGCCGTATGTTTTGAAGATTAACAAAATGCAATACGCCGGGTGTATAGCTGCACCTCTCATAAACTATTTTAAATCGAGCGTTTATGGTATACTTACACTTAAAACGCATTCGACCAGTGGACGCCGGCTGCTGGCTAATTTGACAGATCACCACTCCCGCCGCTCGTGTAGCGTGCGATGGAGTCATTTAAATCTCGACAGAGGTGGTTTTTTTTAGGTGCTCTCAGTATTCTCAAAATCGAATTCTTGACGTACACCACGCTTACACAATCCGACTATTTAAACTGTCGTTATGGCTATATATAGGTACTATATTATTATCATAATATGGTACTGCCAAAACACTATACACGCCATATATTATCGTCATCGCCGTGATGCAACCACCTACAGCTTTGATTTTATCCCGGAAAACGGCACAATTCCGTATTATAATAATGTCCCACTAACAGAAAAACTCAGAGACATCACAACGAGTGATGGAACGAAAGTGCACGGTTATCTTGAATTAGGAGAACGATGTGTCAGAATTACCGCGGTCGTCTCAAAATTTCCAGTGGGTAGCATAATACATTATTTATACATTTAGCAGTTTGAGTTTAGTTTCGGTTGATTTTAATATTATGGTGAATATTGATCCTATATGAAATTATACTCATAATAATAGACATTTAATATTTATGTCCAAGTTATGTCAGGCATATTATATATTTTATATAATAGGTGCATAAGTTTAAGCCAGAGACAAAACATGTATACCCACTGACTTCAAAAATAAATTACTTCCTCTTTTAATAACCATTATAGAACGCTATATAGTGTATATGGTATATAAAATACTGGTATATATTTCCACCATGGGAATTTGTAATTTTGATGATGACTCAAAATACTTACGTTCTAACTTGTAAGTCATACCTACTACCTTGGTGGATTAGAAATATATTTCAATGCTCGAGTGACAACATACAGATGTATACCTACATGACATTAGAACATTAATATTATATAAACACTAATGAAAATTAAAATGAACTACTGAATACGTAATTTATTTATTATTTTTTATTTAACCTCGAAATATTAAGACAACCTCGGTGATTCCCAACTGCTAAAAGTGTACAGTCAAATCTAACTCTATACGTGCAATTTTTATTCTTTTTTATTGAATTCTTATACCAGACTGGCTGTAACTGCAACACCTACACCGGTGTGCTCTCTCCAATCACGAATTTGTAAGAATTCATTGAATTAACAGTGCAAACTCACACTAGTTGGTTTTCTAAAAACAGGTGTGTGGTTAGTGTAATAATCATAACAGGTCTACGAGTTAAATTAAATACATCATTGTTGCGGTTTTCAGTAGAGCATTATTTTTACACGAATATACTTCACCAGTAAAGCGCACTCGGTATTTTTAGCAGCTGGGGTTACAATAATTTTAATGTAAACAGCTTATACTATAACCATATACTATAACCAGGGCTCCTAGGTTCATGAATTCTCATATCAATTCTGTCAAGTAATATTAAATGCTATGTGACCTAAGCATTTGATTTAAGGTCATAGGATTCAATTTATTATGGCATTGAATTTTGCAGCATTTTCATATTTTGGGGTTTTCTGTGTACTTGGATAATACTTTTGCATAATCAAGCATTTTATTTTTATTTCAAGAGCAAGCACATGAAACATTTTTTTTTAGTTGTTGATACACTGTTAATAGAGTAAATTTTTATGTAGTAGATGTACAATTTATTTAATGTTTATCAACAAAAAAATGTATTTGAAAACTTAAACGCATGAATAAAAAAAAAATTTATACATACTGTAAGATTGAAATCAAACGTATTAGGAGTTAAGACGTAAGTAAGTTTTGTTTAAAAATTTAAAAAAAAATCGATTTTTCATTGCATAATGAATTGCAACTGCATAATATTATAAACATTTGGTCTAAAAGTTTTTCTCTACATATTGGAGCACACCTGTAAGAGTACTTATTCAAGCCTTTTTATAGTGAACGAATCTAGACATTACGCCTCTAACCTTTAATGGCAAACCTTAAAACCATGTTATAACTTATAACTAACAGATGAGCTTGGTTTCAGGTGGGTACGAACTTGATACTGCGGAAGGGGTGCGACATGACGGCCACCGAGCAGCCGGCTGACCTGAGGGACAAGTGCCTGAACGAGACCTACGCGCAAGAGTTGGTGGCCAAGATACAGACGTGGAAGCTGACCATTCAGTACTCGGTGCCGCTGGTGTTCATACTGTTCGCGGGCCCGTGGAGCGACACGCACGGCCGCCGCCGCCGGCCACTCATGTTCATACCGATCGCTGGCCAGCTGCTGACGGACGCGTTCAACGTGCTCAACGTGTACAACTGGCACTGGTCACCAGCCGTGGCCGCCGTGTCCGAGTGCCTGGTGCCTGCCCTCACCGGGTCCAGGATATGCTGCGTGGTGGGCGTCGCGTCCTACGTGGCCGACATCACGCGCGTCCAGGATCGGACCAAACGCATTGGCATGCTCATGTCACTGTACTTCATCGCCACGCCGGTGGGCGCGTGCACGGCAGGCTTCCTCAACGTCAACATCGGCTTCTACGGCACGTTCGGCGTGTGCATAGCGATGAACGTGGCGGCGCTAGTGCTAGGTGCGGCTTTGGTCAAGGACACGTCCGTGCCGTACGACAAGGGTGCGTCTATATGGCAGACGATCAACCCGAAGGTGATCGCCGACTCGGTGCGCGTACTGGTCAAGAAACGACCCAGTCGGTCGCTGCTCATTTACATGACCATCGTGTCGCCGCTCACCATCGGACCCATGCAAGGTGCGTCAAAACAAGCACATTTATCAATATTTACTATTTACTATTATAGTAGGAACACATTAGAAGTTACGCTTTTACAGTTGGTAATAGTTACAATTATAATTTCGGACCATGGTTCTAAATAGTTATAATAAGTAGGTACTTAGATGTATTGAACGAAATATCAATATCGTTGATTAAGACGATTTAGTAAGTAGGTAATAAGGTAAGTGGGGTAAAATAATGATTTCATCAGAAACTTTTTTTTTATAATTCTTGAAATAATAATTTTTCAGTACGATTTCCGTACACAGTATGAAAAAGAGTTATTCAATTATAGAAAGATAGACGCTAGACGATTATGGATACTAATTATTGTTTCTATTTCTATTACAGTTGTAAACCAAACAGCATAAAAGTCAAGTTTATACAACCAATAAATTGGTGTACATAATAAATAAGATTATGTGTAGTAATAAAATAAAACATTACAACATACAATGTCATAATAATATGATACTACTTATGTGCATGAAAATGACCATATTTATGATTTATGTATTATAAAATTCATACCAAATGAAATTTAAGTTTTCCAACTAAATTATTCAATACGTTTATATTATTTAATACTAACACCATGAGTTAATTAAATTCTTTAAACTGTATTTTTGAATGGTAAATTACATTTTCATGTACCTGTATAGTATTTATTGAAGGCATTGATTTATTTATTTGTACTATTGAGTATTTTAATATGACGAAGACGCTTAATAAAAGACCTAGTGAAATTAAAGTTAAATTTGGTTGAATAAAATAACACGTATTAATTTAATGATTCGTTACATTTTTTTTATTTATCTAACTGGTATGTCAGTAAATATTTTATTGAACAGTTTTAAATATAAATTCCACTCGGAATTGTATTAAAAAGAATCATTTTGAGCCCGACTATACAACTTTTTTTCAGTGTGTGCGTTTATTGAGTAAAAGTCGTCAATTTCACTACACTCAAGTCACATATCACAATAATATGATATGTACCGTTGTGTAGATACAAATTTCATATAAATTTATGTATGTATGTATGTATGTATGTATGTATGTATGTAATATGTATGTATGTATGTATGTATGTATGTATGTATGTATGTATGTATGTATGTATGTATGTATGTATGTATGTATGTATGTATGTATGTATTCTTATTGTAGAGGTGAATAAATAAATGAATTTGAAACTCATTTTATGTTTAGGGATGCGGCCTGTGAGGCACCTTATACATCTGTTCAACTCTTAAAATAGCTCACATTTTCAACGAAACACAAAATGCGCAATTGAAAAATGCTGAGAAAATTTTTCCTCGAAAAATGTAAGCTTACTCTTTCATTTCAAATATCCTATTTTAAAATATTATGAATAAAAAAAAAAACTGAAATTCCGACGATTTCACGAATAATATTTGCCGTGATTGTATTTGAAAAATGTACGTTTTCTTATACTGTATAAAACAAAGATATGCATTTCTACAACTCCTCGTCTTAACAAATATCTGAACTCTAATTATAAATACGGTACCAACGTTTTTTGATATTTTTATTAATTTATTCATCCAGTACCTATAGTTATAATAATATTATTATTCGAAGAGGTAACGCAAGACGTGCTCAAACGTACGACGTATAATATTGTGAACAATATTTTAGTAAGTATTCCACGCTGGAGTATCTGATGTCTATAACACAGTCACTGGTATATAATATAGTAAAGAATTATAAATTATAATATTATAGAAGTATACGAAAATAATATCAAACTTTATTGTTACGTGCGTAGAAGCAGTGTAGTAGAAAATCTTAACGTCGTTGTCGTTATTAATAATAATTATTGTTTGTATAAAATAATATATCTTATAGACGGTGACACATTTAATTTAATGATTAAGTAACACCACCTACAGTCTCGCCGCTCACGATTAACCAGAAAAAATATAATAATAATATTATATCGTTCTCATTTCGGTTAGCATTATAACTTGTGCTATCTGGAGGCAAAAAGAAAAGAACATTTTCATTATCTGCACACTTCGCGGCACCCGATTTGTACTGATCAAATACTTCAAACTGACGTACCTACTAACATAATATTTTTATGTGAAAATTCCGCTGGGTTGAAGTACGTACAGACGTACAGTACTGTTCATAATACGAACATTTAATTGGGTGAATGCTCTAAAATCGACGGGCCGTGTACCGATACAGGGCGGGATATCAACCTACACACAATCGGCACGCGGAAACAACAAAATCAATTAATAAGTATCAATTTTTTTTTTATGGTGGGTATTATGTAATTGTAATATGATATGTGAACATAAAAAACATGGACATGTGCTTAATGGAAAACGCTGCAGGCTATCTGTGGGTCAATTAAAAATTCGATGGAATAATTAAAAATAATAGTGAATATAGCGTTTACCTACCCGTATTTTTAGTGTATTGAACTGAGTATAATAGGTAGACAATCGAACCACACATTTAATCGAGCATTTATAAGTATCGATCGATAGGACAAAATATGTATAGCGTTGTATAAGCAGTATCATAATATAAATCATTATAGCAGGTGCCCATAGGTAAAATTTTAATGGGTGGAGGGGAGGGATGAAATACAATTCTCAAACCTAATCAAATATTTACCTAAAGTTATTTCAACATAATATGAGTTTAAATATTCTTATTATGTTAGGTATTAATAATTAATACTTGTATTTTTTGTATAAAATTGCATTTTAATAAGTACAGAAAAAAAAAATAAAGTCAAATTTATTTTTTAGTATTGGTAAATAGGAACTGCACATATTATCTTTGTCTTATTCCAAACATAATACCTAATATAATATGTTGGATATCATTAATATAGGCATCTTGAATGAAACAGTTCATGTACAAGTTCACTTTTTTATGACGACAGATCATTCAATAAATTATAAGTTTATAATATTTTTTTCCAAGGAGGAGGAAAGTGCACCATCTTAAAGCCAACTATCAGTGCTCATCATACATTTGTTCTTTAGTTCTGATATGTTAGTTGGTGCTATGTTATTACGAAATGGCATGCTCAGCCCATGTTATATACTATAAGTTATATTTTTATTGTTTTATCATACATATTTTATATAAAGCGGGAGGGTGGACATGACGTCCTCATCTCCCCCGTGAGCATGCTCCTGAGAACAATGATTAATAAACATTTAAAAGATGATACATTTACATATAACTATTACAGACAAAAAACGAATCGTCTTAAAATTAGGTTTTCAATAAAGCTTAACGACAAATAAATCATTGTCGTACAAAATTATGTTTGTATGTGAAATACCTTTTTTACTGATTGTCAGCTAACAATCATTATTACCTACTTTATGCAAACGTACAAATTGATACATATGTTATACATACAACATTATTGTTTATTACAATATACTTAGTTAGGAGTATCCTAACTGTTTTAACAGTATGTAGTAATACCTATAATACATTATTTATATATACTGTAGAATTTAGAACTATGGTGTGGTTTAAATTTGTATTGGAGGAATTATACGTCTGTAACGAAATTAATTAACATTTTCTTTGAACGAAACATCAAAGTGATATTCATGATTCTTAATTAACGTGAGACGTTGTTTTGCAAAATGGTATTAATAAATATTATTATTATTCATTTGTAATTTATAAATTGATTATTTGAAATATAAATAATATTTTACTAAGGAATCAAATTCTTGGGCTGTTTTGACTTGTATCGCCTATTTTATTGTCTATTTCTTATACTTAAAATATGTGATACTAACAAAAATGTGACAATTGTACTGACCTACTCATTTATTGACAATTGTGGGTGTGATATATACTTATAAGTACACAATGTAATGTGATAGGTGTTAGACACAGATGAATATTTTTTAATTTCCAATATTATTTAGATTTGTAACTTGCAGTGATAATGTAATAAATGTATACACTCGAGTAGCAATAAAAAGTCATATTATAATAATTTTTTTTTTTAAATTAATCTTTATATTGCCTCCATATGACTTAGCTATAAATTATAATCGGTAGGTACATAAATTTGTATTATTGTAATTACATATTATATCTTAATTATTTCTAGTTTATCATCATTTATAATTCTATTCAAATTATCTATACAATATTATGGCGAAATTATATTCTGCTTCTGTAAAATGTACTAAACCGACATGAAAGCGGCAGGCTGAAATTTGAATCGCAATTACGCGGGTAATTAAAATTGATGAATTGGACAATATACATTTTTTATTTATCTGTTTTCGTTGTAATACACCATAGGTACGCCGAATCAAAAGCTGCTCAGTACATAGTCATACAAGTTTAATGTAATATCATATAATATTAGATATATCTATAGTACCTGCATAGCCTATTTCGTACTTGTAGCCTAAGGATACCATAGAAATTGCAAATACGAAACTAAACTGTTGCTAGTTTGGTAATAATAATACTTGCAATTTGCCAATTACTACAATGGATAAATGTGACAGATAAAGCCATTTACCCGTGGCATACGATTGTGCCAAACAGATATACCTACATTATGTATTCGAATTATATAACGCCACATAAATCGTATTGAGAGCGACACTGCGCAGTTACAGTGGAAAAGTTATTGTTGGCCTAGGTTTTAACAGTTGATCTAAAGTACATAGGCACCTATAGCCATAATCTATATATAATGTATACATATATAAAGATTAGTAGATTGTAGGTCAAAGAATATTGAATTGTTCACACATTCGGCACCCACTCGTCCTATCACCAAACAATTCACTGGCATTCGTAATATTTTCCTGAACACTCTCTCTATATATGATATTATATATATATATGCCGTTTTTCATATAATTTATTCTTCTTGAGAACTCAAGCATTGTATTTAATATTTACCAATAAATAACATGGGATATATCCCATTTAGTGTGCTAAGCAAATGTTCTTCTCTGAAAATACGTTCCAAATTAACCTGTAGGTATCTATAGGTATCACAACATAAAATACAAACATTATACACTTTCATCTTTCACTTTGCAACGAATTTAAAACATCAAAAGTATTAGAAAATAAGCTGGAAATAAGAAATAACTCAATTTCTCCTCTTAAAACCCTTTTATTTTAATAAAATTTATTCTTAAGAGTTAAATTAAATAATATGATCACCATACATCACCGTGAGTGCACACAATTATTGTCACCTACCTAACTTAAGATCACTCGTCATTACCGCATTTTGAGCGTGTACTTAGGATTATGTATTTACCTATGCCTAATACTAACGAACAGATAATCAAGGTCAATATATTTTGTTTGTACAGGGTGATTCATCAAGCATGCTCACCCATATTGTTTTCAAATTCTAATTTTTGGTATTTTTAAATATACTAAAAAACCATTTTTTCAAGTTCTTGCATTTTTTTGTACTACTTAAGAAGTATGGTGATACAAACTTCTGTTTTTCAAATAAGAACCCCCCTCTTTTACTATAAATTAATAAGTGGATATTGTTTTCGAAAATTTTTATATACCACATTCAAAATTCGAATGAATAGTTTTTTGGTTATTAAAATGTTTGTATTAGGGATAATAGTCCTTAAAACTATTTTAACATAAATATAAAATATACATAACATTTGATCTAGTATTTTAAGTATTTATTATACTTTTGCCATTTTTACCAATTATTATTATCAATAGATTAATATTAATGACTACCATTTCAAAATCAAATCACCATAGCCCTTATATCATATAAACTCATTACAATATGGACCTTTCATTCTTAGAACTCACAAACTACTAGTAATAATTTTGATTTTTGAAAAGTCAACAATTTCAGATAATGATCTACTGTATAAATTATAGTTGAATAGGGGTATTTTCATTTGAAAAATAGAAATTTTGATCTCCACAGGACACTCCTAATATAATATGTAAATAGTACGAAAAATCACAAGAATTTGAAAATATGGTCCTTAAATATAGTTACCTATAGGTTAGATTTTTATTTTAAATAAAATTTAAGAAAATCAGATTTAGAAAAACTGCAATATTACATATAACATTATTTTACAATATAGGTACCTGAAAGTGATTATATATTTTTTTAAATATTATATTCTTCATGTTTAAGGGATGACTGAAATTTTCTATATGAAAATAGTAGTTGGCAATCATATTAACATATAAATATACACAAATTACTGTTTAAGAACGAAAATTAATAATTTTTTGACAACAAAACAAACGTGAACTATTTGCATAATAGTTATTATATTAACTAAATATTCATTACATGTCAGAATATGGTAATCAATGATCATTTAGTTAGTGTTATAAAATAACTGTTATTCCTAACAGTATAATCTTTAATTATTCGTGTAACCGTTTCTATAATACATATGTATACACTCTATGAAGTTACCTATAATAAATGATAATTTTATTCACACATCTTTACATTTAATTCTTGCCCTTCATCAATTTTTTCTAATATTGTTGGCTTTTAATATAAATTTACTATATATACAATAATATAATTAACGAACTATGTTTGTAAAAAACACATTTTGTTTTTGTTCAAATTTATTTATTTTTATTATATAGATAGCTAATCAAAAAAAGTCATAAAAAAAATGATAAGAATAAAATGCATTATATAGTAGTTAATTAAACTAGTCTCTTATTTATGTTACACCTTCTTTATCAATTATCAATCAAACAATTGTCATTTTAAACCACACCTGTTCTATATCGACTACTGAGATACTTAAAATAAATATTTTGAGTATTTGTTTTTTTTTTATTTAACTTCTAAAATAAAAGTTACAGATATTCAGCGTTAAGATATTAGCTTATACTTTATATTATTGTACTATGCTGTATTTTGCATTTAATTAAATACACCTAGGTTAAAAATTATTTTGTTAATTTCATATTCCTTTACACGATACATCAATCTATGTACAATATAAGATACGAAGGAACTGCATAATTTATTGTATTTAAATATTTTGCTTAACTATAATACCCTAAATATTTTTTTTCTAAAATAATTACAAGACAATATCAGAGAAGTAAGATTTTTAAAATGAAAATTCGAGTTCAAATAAAGTTAAAATAAAATATTTAGTAGGCATAGGTATTAAATATTAAGATTGACAGTATATAGAACGTTAAGTTTAAGAAAATGTGAGATATCAATAATAAAATGGTCTTAATGTAAAATACATTTATCAAAAACTTTCGAAAGTTTGCGATCTTTTGCCGTATAATATATTTGCCAAATATTGAAAATATGTAGTTCATTTACAATCAATAATGTGAAAAGTAAGGGAAGTTCTAGTTTTTTTTTTTATTTGCATATATTCACACAACTTTGTTGTATATTATTTATTATATAATATATCTAGACAGTCCCTATACATACATATATATATAAAATTAATTGTCCTGAATCATCATCACCTAGCCAGAACCACAGGAGCTTTGAAGTTTGGTGGGTAGTTTCGTTCTATGATGACCCACTCGGGAAGGATTTTCCAAAATTTGCATTTTAAAGAAGTCCAAAACAAGGATTTTGAGATTCACTGTGGAATTGCAAATTTATTTTTATTTTTAAATAGTTTTCATGGGTTGAAGATTCATTTAAGAAATTTGTATCGTTTTTGTTTTGTATTTTAATGGTTGCCACTGGTTACTTGGGCATATGAGATAAAATCTAACGTCGTTCCTTATAACTTTTTAGAATAGTACCTAGAAACAACTATTTTTAATAAATCAACCCAGTATAATATATTATTATATGACTAATGAACTGTATATCTATACAAATATGTATAAGTGTAGTGTATTGACTATTTTGAGATTTTCGTTAATAGCAGGTATACATTTTTTATTTATTTATTTTTTAATAAACCGACTATACAAAAAAAAAATATATTTTTTAAACTAATTCCGTACTTCTATACTTAGCTAAAATACATTACTTAGATAAGTGTATAATATCATGTATTTTCATATACTTATAATAATATGTATAATGTAAATATTATTTTTATTCTTAGAAATATTTACAATTTAAATAATATAATAATATTTTTAACGAATTTTATGAAAGTATTTAAGTATAGAATTAAAATAACATGAAGTAACATAAGTGTTAAATAATTTAAAATAAGTAAATTAATTTTTTTTTTTTAATTCAAATGTCAAGTGTGACGGGATATTAAATTATTAATACCATAGACTGAGCAAATGTTTTTTTTTTCAACCAAGTGCACGGCGTGAATTTAGTTAGCTAATCAATGATATTTTGTAAATATGTATTATATGTAAACTATTTTTTTTTAAATTAATTAATACCTACGTATTTGATACATTTATTTTATAATTATTTAGGTATTTACTTTTTGTTTTGCCTAATTTGTCCTTATTTTTAAATGATGTTCTTTTTACTAAGAAATATAATGTTTAAATTAGGCTAAATAATATTTATATTTTGCTTAAACCCCATATAATAATATCTACTAATAATTTATCCATAGAACTTTACAAAATGTTTTACTTCAAATTATAATTACCCATACATTTATATGATGCACGATGTATTTATCAATCTATTTTATCTGAGTTCTTTAAAATTCGTAAAATTAAAGTAATTGTAATTTAAAATCTTGACTTTATTATCTGACAACTGTTAATAAACTATAATACCCTTTGTGACTTTGTGTTATGCATTTTTAAGATAGTTTGATACCCATCACATTTGTTAATAAATATTGTTGTACTAATATGAAATAGAAAAGTAATCTTTAGAATTTAATTATAACTAATATTTTAATACATAACTCATATAAATTAATTATAAATATACTTATATTTTAACTTACTATTTTTCAGGTGAATATTCCATACTTTATCTTTTTGTCAGATATAAATTTGGATGGAACGAAATCGATTACAGTCTCTACGCTGCATACAAAATGACTGGGATACTCATAGGTAATATTACTAATATTATTTAGACAAAATAATATAAGTTTAACATAAGCTGCCTTAAGGTGATGTTTGTGTAGTAGCAATTTCTTTTGGAGAAAAATCACGTAAAAATATTTTTTGTTCTTGCAAGTTCAATCGTAATTAATTTCTGTATTAATGAAATTCGAATGTTATAAGAACCTAATACAAACACTTGAAAATCGAAATACTCACTATGAATTGTACATTATTGTATATACCGATTTTGTCGTTAATATCGTTTTGGGTTCAAAAACAATATTTGTTCATGTGGAAATGGCGTATTTGATGGTTGTTTACGATATTTTAGATTTTTCACGGGATCTATAATACACGTACAAACCTACCCAACCTACCCAACTAACTAAATAAATCAATTCATCAAATATATTTCCTGCTAAGACATATATATATATATGGCATCTTTATAGTCTTCGTACCTTAGGTTCTCTTTAAGAATACTTTTTGTCGCCAATATTATATGTTGGATTACTAAGGAAATAAGTCATTTCAATGTTAATAAAATTAAAAAATAAACTCAGAAGTACAAGATTTTTATGGGCCATTTTGGTGGGTGTTTAAAAACGAAAGTAACTATAAATCATTGAATTTACTAAACGATTCGAACAGAATTTAAAACTGGTTATAATCATAACATTTGCGTCAAAATAGTTGCATGGTTATATCATATAATAGATTATATTGGTTATATTTCTTAAATCTAATGCGGCTGTTGGCGTGGCGATGCTCGCAACGCGCGCATGCGCAGAAAATACCGCATAGCCTGTGTAGCCACTAGCGCGAAACATCTGATGAACTGTTAAAAAAAGAATGATTTTTCTTAAAAAAATCTAAATATATTTTTTTGATTTGTTAACAATGACAAGGAAATTCATATAAAAATTTTTTTTATTATAATCTGTGCATAATGTCTAATATAAGAAGGCAAGACTCTATACATAGGCAGCTTTTGAACTTTCAGTAGATAAAAAGAAACCATTTCAATCAATATTATTTTGTAATATTGTAAGTATTTTATAATAAATAATTATACTTTAAACCATTATTTCACTATAGGTAGATACATTTCAGCGATTCTACATATTATTGTTGTATAATTACCTACCAATATATGATTAATGAATCAACAATTTTTTGTACTACTAATTATTACAACTGTATATCGTCATAATAATCATAAATCGTTATAATTGTGAGATACTGCGAGGTCGAGCACATTGCAAATCTATAAGTATAGTCGTCCGTTACAGATTTAGAGCGTGAAGACAATCTCATACCAGCTACATGATTTACATAATCGGTATATTATGTTTGAAAAATTGGGTTACTTATAATTTGTATAAACTATATACTCTTCCTTTTCCCTCAACTTTTCCTTTTCAAATCATACTAGAAAGAGTTGTATAAGATAGTGACATGAAGGTCAATATTTAAAAGACTATAATTATTATAGATTAACACAATTTTATAAAGGAATTAATATCTAGTTACATATTTATCAACTTATAATTTCAAACGGACCATATAAACATATGAAAGTTAACCTACAAACTATAAAAAGTAAGACGAATGCACACTCATGTTATTTAATATTTATAGGTACTGGACATTTTGTCTTGAACTAATAATCATCTTGGGAGTTGACACTTAAAAAATTCATTGATAACACATAACTCGTGAATATTAGATATAATATATAATTTTATCATTCAATTGAAATTGAATAGATCATTAACTTAACAGTAAATATATATTATGTGCATTATTTTATTCACAGGGACTATCATAGCTATATGGTTAATGAGTGTAAAACTGAAAATGCACGACGCAGCAATAGGATTTATCGGCAGCAGTTTCGACCTAATCGCTGCCGTGTGCTATAGTTTTGTCACCCAACCTTGGCAGCTGTATGCAGGTTGGTCATTCGCCATTAAACTAAATACATTTATTTCTAATGATAAATCGAAAACCACGATTTATACGATTTAACGTGTAATTTAAAATTTCAGTGCCAGTAATAGATATTTTCCACGGTGCGGCGTTTACAGTTAGCACTTCGATGGCGTCAAAACTCGTCGATAACAGTGAACTAGGTAAATGATGTTATTATAATGAATGTCAACAATAAACTTCTAAAATTTGTAATTATTATTATTATTTTTTTTTAAGACAATTTGATACGCGTTACTCGCTCGAGAGTAGGCGTATAAAACTGTTTTTAAATAATTTAAAATGTCAAACATTGTGGGACAACGGCAAATTGTCAATGACAATATTTCATTTAATTATTATTCAAAATTATAATATTATCGTAACACAAACACTTATAAGGCGTACGTAATTCTTATACATTTTTTTTTTTAGCACAACTCAATTCTGTTCGTGGTATGCTGGAAACGCTCGCTCCAATTATTATTTATCCGTTATATAATCAATTATATAAGCTCACATTTGAAACACTACCGGGAGCTTTTTTCCTGTTGACTGCGGTTATTACTGTTCCAGTTGTCATACTATTCGGGTAAATACAATGCCATAATATTCCACACAGTTTTACAATACTATGCTCTTTAGAACTCTATATATATTATAAGGTAAACGTAGAACCGTTTTTTCCATATAAAATATATTGTTAAGTTATAGTATTTACATTTTGGTTTAAAATGTGCGCAATGTGTCCACTAAATTCATAGACCTGATCATAACATGCACTGTAATTAATTTAGCTGTAAATTACAGCTATTATACAAAAATAATAAACCAAGTAATGAGTACTTTACATACCCTTATCAATTCTTTAATGAATAGAAAAATCCTTAAACATCTAATTTTATTAAATCAATACTGCAAAATCTATAATACGTAGGTAGGTATAAGAGGTATGAAAATATAATTGCGGTTATTTCTCGGTAAAATGTAATATGTATTAACTGCAACAAATAATTATTCATATTTCTCAGCAATACTTGAATTGCTTTGCTATTTTAACATTAACTGTAAATTGTAATTTAAATGGGCATATATCTTTTTTCTTCCGAACTAAGTATAATAGTTTGTAGTTATAAAATGTTTTCAGAGCGGGTAGAAACTATAAATTATAAATTTTGAATGTGGGAGGATAATATATTGTAATAAAACTGTTTTCCATTTTCTCAAAGTCTGTACAGTGATAATAATATAATATACAAACGGTAGTGAGAATTCGTTCGACCAAATTAAGTGGTTTCGGTGCAAAGTATAGGTATAGGTAGTACGTGGCTGTCTGACCTTTAATTTGATTTTGACTGTTATTATGGTTGGCTGTTGGTCAATATTGACTTCATCTAGACGCGTGAGTTTATAAGGCTATGAAATACAAACAAAACGTTTGATATTATCTATGGCTTTTAATTTGATTTTATAAGAACTTATGCTGATATCGTATTATATTGCATATGCGTTGCAGCCCGTATAACCGCACATATTGATTTTATAGAGGTCATCTTTAAATGTTAAATCATAACTTGTAAGTACATAAATAATAAACAAATCGATATCCACAGTAAGTTTTAGAAAAAAAATTGAGAAAAAACAAGTTATAAATTTACTATGAAAATTTTCCAAATATAGGTACCTAAGTATTTACTTAATTTATTATAATTTAGCATTATTGAAATGTTAAATAATACTTCATTACCTACTACAATAATTATATTGTATTAGTAGCATTACAGTAATAACATACCAAATCAACTGTCATTTCTATGATATAGATATAGGTCATTAAAATCATTGTTATGTAAACATATAATAATCCAACAAAATATTAAAAATACTTTTAACTGAAAATTAAATGATGTATAATATAACTGCGAATGAGGTTCCATACTTATTTTTTAGTATCGTTTAGTATAGGTATTTATACCTTTAAAGGTTAATTTTTTATGATCTTTGTAAATACAAACATACGATTCATGTATAATTGTTTTTTTTGTTAAATTGATTAGCCGAGGTATACGAATGGCCACGAGGCCACAACACTCCTCAATTATAAGAATTACCATCGGTAGACTTACGAAATGTAATATTAGCCTTTACCGCCTAAGCCTACAATTATTATTGTGATTCGTGTTTTTACTGCTTATTAGTTATTTATAGTTGAATGTTGCCAACTAAGAAGGTATTATTCAAAGTGTAATAATATTACTTTGTATTATTTGCAGGTTGACATACAAAGCCGATCAAAAAGACAACATATTTAAAAATAATGAAGATGATGGTGTAGCACAAAAAAATAAAGACGAATGTAATAATACTGTCAAAGAAGGATCGATTAAAACTTTAGATTCTGTTTGACATCATTCATGTGTAAACGAATGTGATGTAATAATATGGTGAATATTATTCGCATCATATTTATTTGTTATTACTTATTATGTTATAAATCTACCTTCCAACCTATAATATAGACATTAGACATATCTTTACCGGCATTATCTTAAATTGTATTTATGTAAAATAGTCACTGTAATAAATTGTACCATATTTTATATCATATTTACTTATCTAATGTAAAATGTAATGCAAATTACTTTAAAATTGTAAATCCTCATAAGTTTAGTGTAAAATGTAAATAGTACCTATAAGACATATGGATAATTAAATACAACAGTTTAATGATAATATGTTTGGATTGTTCTAATTCGATCTATCTAATGGAGCTCAACATTTTTGTATTGTAGGTATATCCTTTTTATAAGGATAAGTTTCAAAGTCCAATGTAATTATAACTAAAATAGGAAACATTTTATAGATCCTCAACTAGTATTTTAAACGTATTAAATAAATATATAGAACCTATGTAATTTTAGGTAATAGCCAATCTACCAAACCTACCTAGCGGCTATCACATAATGCTGATACAAGTTATTCAAAACGTTTTTTCAACCTTAGAATCCTTCGATTCATCATATAATTTATGTTAAATGAAACTACTGTTTTTTTATAAGGCCAAAATTAAATTGTTTTTATAAAAATAAATTGAATTTTTAAAAGAATATTTTTTCTTGTTTTTTTTTTTGATAGTGAAGTAGGTAAATATTACAATATACCTTCACTTCATTAGTCTAGACTCTAGAAGACTGTTGACATAATTTTGCCAACATTTTCATAATATTATACTTTCTACATAATATGCAACTCGTTGTTAAACATTTAAATATTTGAAAGACATTTAAAAATGTATATAGTTTAATTTATGGAATAAATTATAAAATTATAAATTCAAAAATAATATCACTTTTTTTAAAACAAAATTATAAATAAAATTTAATAAAATAATAATAATAATAATAATCGGCTATAAAAATATAGATAGGTACTGGACAAGATTATACAAGAACAAAATTGTTAATGTAATAAACATTAAGTGAAAACACAATATTAATTATTAATACATCTTATTATAATATAAACATGTGATTCACAAAGCATGTTCATCTCCGTTTATTTTCTTTCATAATGAATAAATTAAAATTCTGATTCTTGGATTTTTTTCGTATACTACATTTACCATATTTTCAAGAAATTAGATTTTATATACCATTTAAGGAATATCCTGTATTCCTATAGTTGTTCCAACGTCTTTTTTCCTGTAAACTGTAAACAGATGACTTTTTAAAAAGTTGATGCGTCTAAATCATTACTCAAACAAGCATTTGTTGAGTTATTTAAAATTGTGTACTAAGAATAATTATTGGTTTAGAGTTTATGAAGCCATACAGTAGATTAGTTGAAAATTACAGTCATTTACATTGATTTACAATATGATAATACTATAATATGTAATTTGTAAAAATTGTCAAAATAAGTAGTATTAACTATTAAGTACTATAGAATATATATTATCTATTTCATTTTTGTTTAAAACCATTGTTAAGGACTATTATACTTAATAAATATAAACTAGATAACTCAGAATTTAATAGTTCACATTTTGTTTTAGATACATCAAAATATTCAAAAAAACCATCTTCTCTTAAGAAATTGACAGTAAAAAAGTTAGTTCTCATTTGAAAAAGTAAGATGTTGTCATAAAAAAACAGGACTCTCCTCAAATGGAATAAAAAAATAAAAATATTTAAAAATACTTAAATACATTATTTAAGTTTTATGATATACTTTAAAATTACAAAAATCAGAATTTGAATAAATTAATTTTTAAATGAAAAATGGGGTAAACTTGATTGGTGAATTATTATTGTATAAATATATAATTGTATAATATATCATGCAAATTTATCTCATTTATTTATTCGTCAATTAACTTAGAGTGGGCATAACTTAAAAGTCATAATTATCATGCATGCATATACAAATAATAGTATTGTCACCAACATTTGGTACTTACTGGTTGTTCCTCTATAAGCCCGGACATTTTGACCCTTAGGTTGTGATATCATCGTTTTGCTACTTTAAATAAATTAAACTTGTCAACATTCATTTAACAAATAATTATATAACAATAAGATCATTTTATTAAAAATTGTTATAAATATATCTCAAGTGAAATGAAATAAAATATAACACGAACATAAAATATTTAGGTGTCTTGGTGAGGTACGATCGCACGCTCAATCTGAGGCAACGCTATGAGGGTATTCACCAGCCGTTGTTGCTAGCACTCGGATGGGTGACCACCCGGGTTTTTAGCAACACATCCTTGTCACACAAGTGTTTCAAATCAACCGCAGGTCCCCCTACAAACAGCTAATGGCCGTAGTCCGGGATTAAGATCAATAAAAAATAAAATAAAAAATATTTAGATTCAATTATAATCTACATCTTTTTTAATTACATAACATCAAAATATAAAATAAGCTGCATTATTTATTATTAACTGATATTGATTCAAAGTTTGAATTTCAAACATGTCAATACTAGTGAATTATATAAGTGTAATATTAAATAGTATTTATATAATGTGTAAATCAAAAAATTTTAAGAACTGACAGTTTAGATCAGTTAAGTGATCACAGAGATTCTCTACTACTCTGATAATCCATTCCCGGTTTCACTAAATCACGCTAAAAATACAATTTCGGATAGTATCCGTGTAAGGTGTAACAGATGTTTCGTACACACCAAGTGAAAATAAATGTTCACTTTAAACTTATTTCCGTGTTTAGATTTAGTTCAAATGTTTGACCAACGTAAAGTTCTCAATTTGTGATCGGTACACCAAGTTTTTTTATAAAACTATATTCGCCGTCAAAAAGAAAAAGAAAAATTATGTATTTTACAAAACAAAAGTTTAAGACAAGTATAGAGATGTCAATTTATATTACATATATTATATATAGATACATAATAATATAATATTATAAACACTTATTTTTTGAAGTCCTAATAAATTGTAATAAACAAGAGGTTTAACTCGGTTTAAGTGTAGAAGCTACCTAATCGTTTAAGTGTATAGTATACAGTATACTACAACTTAAGTATTAAAAACTTATCTCTTGGCTCTGCAAAATTATTTTTCGTTATTTTTTAACACTCGATTTATACTGTAGTGGTGGTGGTGTAGTGTACAATAAAAACAGGTATGCGTATGACGAAGGGTTTAAACAGCAATCAACCCTAATATATTATTTGACTGAATACTCGATAGCACATTTATAGAATTTTCTGCCCCATCGGTTTCCATTCATAACTCTTTAGTATACTTAAGTATTCATCATCTCGTTAAGATTGAAACGGGACAAGACTGCGAACGGAATATGTGGAGCGATCTTGTTCCGTTTACATGCGTAACTTTATCGTCGAGGTAGTCGACCACAAGTGTGTCCGCACGCCGCCCTCACCATATAAAGAGCGCTCTATCTGCGAGTGTCATTCAACGAAATTCATCTTAATTTTTACTCCAAATTTAAACATTAATTCAAACAATCTTAATAGGTCACATACAAGAAAATTCAATCCAGTCAATAATAATACAGAATATCAAAACTTCAAAGAAATAATATCCAAACACAGAAAACGTAAAAAAAAGCAACAAAAGAAGTACTACGCCCTGGAAACCAGGGTAATACATATAACGATATAACCAGTCAGCCGCAGCACCGGAGAATGGAGATACTTCCACTCTACAGCTCCTGTAGCTGAGTTGAGGTGCATACCGGACAGGGACTAAAAACACCATCATACTGCAACGCCAAAAATGACTCAATAGCAACCACTGCCACTATACTCTTAGCAACGACGAAGTCTGTGTCCACTAGTCGAGTACCATACAAGGTTGAACGGTGTCGACCATACCGTCAATTGTGTCTATCTGATGAGCATTATACCCACCAATGTAGAGTTTACTCCCAGTCGGGAACAATATAAGTGCCGCACAGATATCATACAATATAATTACCCAAATAAATCACATGTTCAGATCGCATTTCGTTAAATAGAGATACACGGTGCCGGCAATCAGTGACACGGTAGAACAAGATTTACGATCTATTTGAGGAGCTTTCAATGTCACACTATCCAGAGCAATTCACGGAGAATTATAGGAATCAGGAGCCACCTGCTGCCGCACATTCTCGATAGCACACAGAGACACTGCGTCGTGCAGCGAACATCATCATTCATCACTCAACGAGTTGGAACCGACCAACATACATTCCGTGATTCAATTATGCATAGAAAATAATAATAATTTACTCCCGAAAACATTGTGATCCCCAAATATTTTCACTGTACAATCCGAAAGAATTACAATAAACACACTGGAAAAATGAAAATACTGTAATCGACAACTGTGAAATAGATAAATAATTAAACAGAGATAAATAAATAAATAACATCTCATCAAAAGCTGCAATCACATTTGAGTTTCGTTACAACATTAAATCGTATATAATACAAACATTTTGTGGCGCAATTTGTATGTACATACAAGATGATTCTACACGTATGCTCAACCCAATATTTCTATTTAATAATGTACTTATTCAAATTCAAATTTGGAATTTGTAAGTACATCTATTTAAGTAGTTACAAAACCTTTTGCAGCTGGTTGACATGAATACACATTATACAGTCTTAATGTCTTATCAATAAAAGTAAATTTTAGGTATCTATTCGTTTTAGAAACAAATTGGGTGTCGTGGGTGAGATTTTTTTATAGAAAATAACTTGGACTCAATTCAATTTCCAGATTTAGAGATGTATTTATGCGTGCCTTGTGTTAACCACAAACATTTAGACATTTGGCAATCACATATTGGACCATATTTGTTTAATTCTCCTTTAAGATAACATTTTTAGAGCATTAAGTTTTTATTTATACTGATAGAACAAATACATGAAATAATGCTTCATAAAACTAACTAATACTAATTAAAATATCATTTGCATAAGCGATAATAAATCATAATATTAAGTTATACAATGTACACTATCTTACAATACAAATTTAAAAAATATACTTAAATTATCTTCATTAACTGAGAGTTGTTTCTTTTGTTGTCCACAAGTGTTTACATTTACAGTAAATAATCCTAAAAAAATAAAAAATAAATGATAAATAAATATGTTTTTAGTATTAATGTTATATATTACTCACATAAATATTATTAATAAAGGAAAAGTTAAGATTATATTTAACAAAAATACAGCACCGGGTAAATATTCAAATGTTAAATTATACGTCATACTGTATAATGAAACTGAAAAGAATGACATGAATGTACTCAGTAGTCCTTGGATAGAATTTAATCGACCTAATATACACAAACAATAGTAATGTAACATTTAGATTAAATTAAAAACGTAAATGCAAATATAGTAGCAATAGGAACATACACATTACAATGACAATATGAAAATATTATACCCACCGAGTTTTTCGTTATCTACGATTTTAGATGTCAACGAAGTAGAAATAGTGAGTGCGGTACCATGAAAAAAGTCAACCAATGGAACTATAATAGTAATAGTTGAAATATTAAATACCTATTATGATACAAAACTCTTGATTTCGTGGATTATAATAATTGATGATTTATATTTACTGATGTATAGTTGCCAGGGTTGATTGACAAAAACGTAACACATTGCAGCAAGAATATCAAATGTACAAGCAATATAACCTATAATTGCATCATTTATTTTTAGACGGTGGCTCAAAACAGTAACAGAAAACAATGTACCTAGAAATTAAATTTAGATTAATGGTTGATTTTTATAATTAATTAAACAAGATGATATTAAATTGCTTTAGTTGTATAGGTTAACATGGGGCCGATAAAATCTATATTCATTTGTAATATATTATACTGTGAAATTACCGTTTAGTACGATTTAATAACCAAAATATTAGACTGAAATACATGCCAAATTATAATACTACATCTCACAAATTATAATAGATACGAATTAAATAAAAAATGTTGTATATAATGGCTTATTTTTTAATATTTTACGTAATATTTGTAACCGGAACATGTACCTATAAGTAATGTACTGAAGTTATTGATTAAAATCAGGTATCGAAGATTCCAAATTTTTAAGAAACAACATTGAATACTGTTATTATGATTGTTGGCCTGGTGTTTCAAGGTGGTTGGCCTTAGTCACAAAACGTGTCCTGAGTTCAAGACTCAACCGGTGTCACTAGTTTGCAGATGGGTGACCATCCGGGTTTTAGTGACAAATCCTCACCACATATACAAGTGTTCTAACCGATCGTACCTTCTCTCACGGTTTAATATCAAATAAATAACTTTTAGGCTAATGACCAAAAATGTTGACCTCAACTAAAAAAATAATATATATTTATTAATAAACGCATAAATCTCACCTACCTAGGTTGAAATAGTGATACAATTTGGCAAACATATCTAATTTAATACATTGATTTAAATCATAATGATTAAAAACGTCATGTTATATTTTATTTTCTTATATTATAATTATGATGTAAATAATTTATAAATCAAGATTTTTTTTATTTATGTTACCAACTGTTTTATTTCTGGAGAGTCTAGTGTATAATTTATACAGTTAAAAGATTCTTCCATCACGATAGAAGTAATATGATAGAAAATAGCTACAAGTAATTACTTTTTTTTTTAGCTTAAGACTAAATAATTAATAACTTATTATTTTTATTTTTATAGCTTTTCAGCTAACCTATTATTTAATTCTCCGTATCATATTTTATTATGTTACTCATTTACTACTGATAAATATAGAAAATGCTAACAAATTTGTTGGTAAATATTCGAAAAAAAAAATAATTAAGAATTCTATGTATTTCAATAAATTACAATTAATTAATCTCCTGGTAAATACATATTTTCCAGGCAACATGACATTTTGACGAAATAGGATTTATGCAACTGTTTATAATTGGTTTTGTCATTGAAGTCAATCCCTGCACTTTTGAATGACGTGTTATTCATAGTTAATTACACGAAAAACTTTTTTTAAATATAAACATTTTATCATTAAATTTCAATAAAATAAAGGGTTCTCACCCTCTTTTATATATATTTTATCAATAGGTGTTCGACAAAACATTAAAATCATTGTTAAAATCATAAATGTGTTTTGCAGCGTCCCAAAAAAATGAGATTTATTATTAAAAATGTAAATTTATAATTTAAATTTATTTTGATGAGTGATGGTACAATATATAATAATATTATAAAACCATATTAAAACCTGGGATGCAATAAAGCTGTTTAAAACTCAGTTTCCTTATTACCTCCCAAGTGAGTCCGGGAAAAGGTACTATCCAAGTACTATCCAAGGGGCGGCACCCTATTAAGCCAAAATACACCCTTCTCTTTTCGGCCAGTGTCACTATTCGGCCTGCACTTACAGTTCCCTTTTCGGTAAGATTCATTTTTGCCAAAAACAGGGACGCCCTTAACCGAATATGTCCCAGAAAAAAGAAAATTTATAATTTTTTACATCATCCAAATGCGTCCCAGAACGATACGAGGTAGGTATTGAAATGGGAATATTCCGAATTGCGTTCTGGGTTTTTGTACGCTATTCCAGTGTTGCTGTTCAATGAATATTTATGATTTTCTTAGTTACAATAATTTGTATTCACACCCATCGGTGCACTGTTAATAATAACGACTATCGAAGATCATAATTCAGATGTATTGTGTAAAACACATTATATTAATGTTTTATTGCTTATAACTTTAAGACATATCTATAGAACATTATATTATCATAGACATTTTCATAGTCAACAAACCGGAATTAAAAAAAAATATCCCTTTAATTCTTATCAATGCAATAATATTAATTTAAAAACAATATTTAAGTAAAAACTGCCAAACAATTGTTTTATACCTACTGGTAATAATTATGCTGTAGATGGAAACAATGGGAAGGAAACTCTTTTCCATAATAATGTATTATATTTAATTTTTGTTTTATTTATTTATTGAAGCTGCTTTAACAGCGATAGTCATTAGCTTGATTTTGGATTAAAATATATAATCAGATAAAACAAAATAACATTGTATACCTACAGTTATATTTAGAATTATAGGCTCAATCTTATATTATAAAAAAATAAAATATGTATTGCTTTTGTGTTTTTTTTTTGTCAAGTGTATGTTGGAGTGACGATGGGTTATTGTAAATTTTTTTTTTGATTTTCTGGATTTTAAGCTTTTAGTCACAAATGATTGATAGTAAAGTTTTCTTTGCATGTGTCGCATGTAGAGGTCGGTTTTTTGGTGATGAGGTTGGAAGTATGGTTTTAGTTTTATGTATACTATTCTGGCTATTGTAATTATTAAATTGTCTCTTCTTTTTACAAATGTATTTATTTTTGAATGGACCTCAATTATATAGATATTTTTACCACTGGACGTAACTATAGTAACAACCTGAAATTGTTTACACTCTAAAAATGTATTATTGGCTTACACCAGGGGCGTGTCTAGTAATTTATAATGGTGAGTCAAAGATATTTAGCAGAGGCCATCCTCACTTTTTAGGTCATGTAACAATGTTAAAAATTAGTGACTTTTATTTTTTTTTTAATTCTCTCCTTGTATCATAAGTCATAATTTTAAATATCTTAAATTCTTAAATAATAATTAATAAGTTTTAGATACATGTTAACTGTGGAAAAAAATTGAATAATTGATTAAGTTTATTATCAAATTTAATATGTAGATAATTTTCACTACAACCTTCAAATAATAATTATTTAAACACTTCAAAATCAATGATTTAAAAAAAATTTGAAAAAAATGAATAGAATATGGAATCATTTACGGTAATATTTTTGTCTTGCACGAATAACAATTAAATCAGTATATTTTATTTTGTACAATAAATCAGATACAAATTTTAATTAAATATGACTAAAAAGTTTGTTATTTTATAATTTTTGCAAATGTTTCAACAGCATTGTTATTATCCACATACCTTCAGAGATATTTCTATAAGTGCAATTTGAATGCGTTTTAATTATTGTATACATACAAATGTTAATACAAATTTAAAACAGATGGACACAATTTAACAGATAAAATTATAGGTAATGTGATTAACTTTTAATGTGTTTAACCGGACCTGCTAAAACGCATAGTGTACCGTTCACCATACATATTACAAAATACAAAAAGTACCTAAATCAGTGTGTCGTCGTTACACGGGCTTCTTGTTTGACACAATTTAATAATATTCAACACGAAGGAACTTGGCAAAGTATATTATACAGACATTTCATCAGTGCCCAGTATTTGCAAACAATTATTAGGTTATAACCGTTAGTGTGTTTGCAAATGTTGACCGCGATTTAAAATAATATTTAACACTATATAATACCTAATGCTATCATAATGTTAATGGATGAAATCAAATATTAAAAAAAAAATGATTTATTAGGTAGTATATTCAGTACCTACACTATATTATTAGAATTGTAATTTGTTAATTATTATTATTAACAAAGTGTCAAGTGGTGTAATATACACGGTACTTATTATATTATTGTATATTGATATATTATGTGTATATTAGTAGTTTGCTAATTTTAATTACTGTAAATAATCTTATCTTAAATAGGGCATCATAAATTATAATATAATTATTTCCTCCAAGCTTTATAGTATGTTTTTGAAATAGGTCATTTAAATTTGGCTCCCAGCAATCCAGCTTGGGATTTTGGAGCCATTTGTCCTATGAAATATGATAAAAGTATAAACATGAACAACTAGACGAACTTAGAATATCATTGTTGGAAAAATCATTTTGGGATGCGAAAAGCTATGACCTTTTTTGATCTTTCTTCATACGCAACTGGCCAACTGTTAATGATCTTGGATCCACCCCATATTACAGTCATATTATGTCATACACTCATTTCGTTTTAAGAATTCAAGTATGCTATATTTTTTTATCGTAATACTAAATTAGACAGAGATTTACATGGTTAAATTATTCAATAGATTAAAAGTAAACAGTAGATCATTGATCTCGTTATTGAACTTTCAGCCTCTTGAAAGCCACTTTTATAATATTTAAAAAAATTATTTTTTTGTAAGTCAATAAATTATTTTTAAAAACCCCTACTCTATATTAAATTGACTATAATGAATAGGTATCACATACATTTAGCCACATTCGTCCTTGTCGAGTTGTAAATAATATACTAAACAAATAAATATTTTATTACAAAAATCAATGATCAAATAATCTGGAACCCCTAATAAAATATAAGAAAAATGATGGATTATTTAGTTGAATTATACTGTAATCTGTATGCTTGCGAAAACTTCAAATGTTTATAATTACATACAACCAATATGGAAATAATAAAAATTCTTAAACGCTTTTGAAAAAAAAAATAATTTTTTTTATTGCTGTACCTATTTATCATTGTACTAAATAAACAATGTGCTGAAGTGTTGTGTATAGTAGGAATACATATATTTCAAAAAATTGAATACATCTTATTAATCTAATAAAAAGCTGTGGAGTTTAATTAATTAATTCAAATTTAGCTCTAAAAAACAAACCCAATGATCAATGTCTGATTCAATTAAAAATAAATTATAATTGGAGATAGAAATTGAGAAATTGAGAAACAGATGAATCTATGAATGGGAACAATGTTATTTGGTGAAAAAAGAGGGGTAGGGGTGAAAATATTATACTAAAAAACCAATTATATTTTATATATATATATTTTTTTTTTTATTGAAAACAGTAAAACAATTTTCAACGATATTTTTTTTTGTGGGGGGTAGAGGGTCTACTGACACCACGAGCCACGACTCCTTTCCATAATGTCACGCTATTGGGAAACAAGTTATATACCTACTATAATTCAAACAAAGCACTGTTTCATTTCTATTTTACAGTGAGGCAAACACACTATACAAAGGTATTGTTATTTTGTAGATGACGACGGTATTAATGTACCTAATCCAATAATACTATGTAATTCAAACAATAAAAATGATTCCATAAACATTTTCTAAGCTAGTTTTGTTAAGTACCACTTTATTTTTATTAATACTTAAAATTATTTAAAACGTAATTATTTAAAAACGTATCATGCAAGACTATATGTGTATAAATATATAAAAATGTCATCTCAAAAATTATATTTTTTAATTTTATGGAACAAATTATTACTTACCAAAAAATATCGTCAGCATTTTGTAAGCAGCAAAATAACTGTATTGCACTTCATACCATTTAAATTTAAACCTCATAAATAAATATGTAACAGCATATTCACCTGAAACATTAAACAATTTAAATTTCAACTAAAACGTCGGTTTGTCCTTATGAACACACTAATAAATTCGAAGAGTTCAAATAAACTATATAGAAATTATAAAAACATTTTTGATACTATAAATGTCTCGGAAAACAAAGAACAACAAGTCAAAAGTTCTAATAAAAATAAAAATATTTTATTTATGATAGGTATTGGTTTGATTCAAATTTAAAGTGTGTTTACTCAAAGTATAAGTACACATTTCATTAAATTTGGTAATGACTAATAAATTTTTTCTATAAGCTTAATAATTGCGGTATAATAGAAAGTGATTCAAAAAGTCATAAGTCAAATTCAAAAGTCTTCAAAATTTCAAAAATTCATATTTATTTTCAAAATGAAGATAGAATAGCAGAGTGAAGAAAAAATTATTTTTTAATTCAATTTATTTTGTTATAAATGTCCAAAATAAACAAATGGCCACTCGCCTCACATCTATGTTATTAATTACTGTAGGTATTTTTCGTTATTTGTTCATCTCAACACTAACTGAAGGCCGCCCTCTAATCATTACAAGACGCGTTTATCAGCAACGAATATTAAAACGATATTGACTATTTGTCTATCTTTAAAATTGTATATAGGTCGTTTACCAGAAATTGACTGTTTTTTATCTATATAAATTCGTAATCTATGTAATTATTAAGTTATTATAGGTTTATACTATGGCTTTAAAATACAATTTAAAAAAAGTTTAAAATCGAGTGAAGACTTTTGAATCATCCTCTACCAACACATTTTTTTAAAATGTATACAAATTATAAGTATGCTATATTACAGATTTTAAATATAAGGTTACTTCGCTCATATTATGTTTCACTATATTTTCATACTCAGTTTGTTTAAGTAACTTATATTCCGATTCTGAATAGGGTGCAAAATGTTATTTATTTTATGATTTATGATTTTATATTTATTGATTTTTGAATAATCACTGTTTTATCATATGTTCAATGAATTTCAAAAACTGTTAAGTGAGGATTAATATAGTACTAATATAAAAACTTACTAAATGGTATCAAAATATTTTAAATAATTTTTTTAAAGTAGACAAATTTATAATCATACTTATGCTACCTATGCTTATTAAAACTATTAACTTTCTCAAAATTAAAAATATAATAGTAATATTACATAATACTATTAATATTTTATAAAAATTAATAGTTACAGTGAATATAATATAATGGATTATGAGCAATTCACTGTTGATCATTGAAACTTATAATTGTTTGGATCAAATGGACTTACTATGATATAATATATTTAGTTTACTATTATGTAGTACTATTAGTTACTATTTATATTTATAAATTTTCAAAATAATATTTAAATAATATGATAACTTACCTCCAATTCTTCCCACTAAAACAGCCTGACACATAAGTAATGTTGCCAACGTAATTGTATATTTTTTACTGCTTCCTTTAAATACATCCAAATAATTTTGAATAAAATATTTTGGTTTCAGCCAAACAACATTTTTATCGTAAGGCATAGAAGTGTCTTTAATAAATATTGACCCAATCGCAAAAGCGATTAAATTCAACGAAATAGATACCAAAAATGCGCCATAAAATCCTAGACCAACGTTTAAAAACCCAGCTAGTCCTGTTCCAATTAAAGTACTGATAGTGTAAATTGCATTTATAATTCCGAATTTTAATGTTCTCGATTCATTAATACAATTATCTGATATGTACGATATCGCACCTACCCAGAACATATTTCGGGCACCGAATAACCCTGGTGTTATTGCTTCAAAAAGTGCAGCAATTTGTGGAGGCCAGTTCCAAAAATAAACGTTTAAAATGCATAAACTATCAGTTAAAACTTGACCTATAAGTGGTATTAAAATCAACGGTCTCCGACGTCTGCCATGACTGTCACTCCATGGACCTGAAACGAATTTGCTTTACGTATTAACTCGTCACTATATCTACACATCGATTAAAGTATGTGAACAAAACAAATAATATATATACAAATTTATACATACACCACACATGTATTATACAAAGGAAATCCATATATTTAATAAGCAAGTTTATTGATCAATAACAATACTGTATAATTTACTATAATATGTGCATATAATCTGTAAATCTACCTTATACAGTTATACATATTATTTCATATATGTATTATTCCTATAAGTTTTATTTTGATTTAAGAAGTCTGGTAGGTCATCCATCGATTGTTAGTAATATTATTTAAATACAATGTCACGATAATTAACGTTGTATAATGGGTGTGCCTGGCTCTTGCGACAGATTACAATTACCTAGTATAAAAATAGTAGTGTATTCTTAATACTCATTTAAATGGAGAATCTAATATCTTTTAAATTATGTATACCACAATGTAGACCGTAAACATTACTGTAAAAGTAAGTACCAAACAATCAAACAAAATAATATTCTTTTTTTATATAAATATGTTCGGTGTATAATTAAAGCTACTTTTACTGAACCACGTATAAGGTATTTTAATATTTACATGTCTTACTTAAAAATCTGCTAAAAAATAAGACTGACACCGATAACGAGTGCCGAAATAAAGGAGAAGTATTCAAACTATTTCAAAGTCATAGACGGAAAACTGCGTACCAAAAAAACTCAATATAAAAACGAATAACGACGAAATCGTGAGCGCCTTATAAATTCAAACGGTAAATTCTGGTGACACTTCTTTGAAAATAGACCTCGAGGTACTAGACAACGGACTAGTAATGAGTGTATGGAAAAAGGCAAAAGATAGAAGGCGCTTTTCGGTTAGGGTATTTACTCATATGTATGGTAGTGCGGGGCAGGTAGAGATGGATAGATCGGAGGAGTAACAATATATTGTTGTCGCCAAGACGGCCTACATCATTTCGAGATATCTTACCACCGGCCGTAATGCTGTTGTTATACACATTACTAGTCTATAGTAGTATAAGGCCTAAGACTGAAACAGGTGACAGGTATCGCAGATAAGAAAAATACAAGCATTGGATCGTCGTTGGCATAGATAAAAAGGACACGTGTGATAATAATGACCAGCAGACGATATTAACAAATATTAATCATATTGCATTTTAATAGAATATTATTCAGGTACCTACACTGGCTGCAACCTTATGATTTACTCTTAAAGGTTGGTCGGAGTACTGCAGCCTAAGCCAGAGGACACAATAGTTGGAGTTTTTGATCGAATGAAGATATCGTATTCTAATGCATATTACAGTCTGTCGACAGTCATTATTATAGAGTAACTATTGTTGTTACACCTACCTAGCTACTGCTTATTGCATACAAATTGCCAACCTTTCTATCGTATCGTTACATATATTAAGGTACATTATTGTTATTGTAACTACTTATATAATAGACAGTACCTATAGTATACCATTATACAAGTCAACACACACAGGTAATACCTAAACTTATTACATATTATACTAATATTATTATCACGGTGCTCTGTCTACTCACCCGCGAGCATGATCATCACGACGGGAATGGTGTATTGTATGGCCGCTTTCCACGAGTAGATGGTGGACACGACGTGCTGGGCGTGCGCCTCGCCTACCGTGCACTCGCCGAACGGCATGGACGAGTTGCACGCCTTCCGCAGCAACAGGTTGTTCTGGAAGAAAGCGGACATCGACAGCGAAGTGGAGTAAAGGAAAGTCACGGTTTCCACGAAACACCCCATGGCGTTAGGTCTGTCGTTCGTCCTGTGCGACGGTCGCCGAGAGAGTAAACCACCTGTCTGGGCTGCGCGGTGCACGTGGACGAGAGTCCCGCGGCGGCGGCTCTCCGACCACTCGAATGCAACGATCACTTATTGCCTATATAGTTTATTTATTGCAGTACACGGCCGTAGGTTATTATTGCTTATTTGTCATCGCTCTGCGCAAACAACGGTTGTTGACTGTCATCGTCGCCGTCGTAGAGCCGGCCAAAGTTTTCCTCTCCCACCCACTCGATCTATGTATTATAATATAATATTGTGATAAGTATACTATATATAGGTGCTTCGTCTACATACAGGGCGATTAACTAAGCACGCTCACTACAATTTTTTTTTTTAATGATGAAAGAATGATACCAACTTCTTTTTTTCGTACGATTATCATTTTTTCCCCTAGTAAATTGGTAAGCACGTGACCTCCATTGAACATATTGATGTTTTCAAATCGAAATTCAAACGAGTAGTTTTTAAGTTATTTAACTTTATGTGCTAAGGACAATGAGTTTGAAATACATGGGGACTATCGGCTATGATGATTTGATAATTATTGTGATAATTTTAATCTATTAACATTTTATAATCTGTATCAATTGTCAGTGTTTTATGAGTAATTATTAGTTAGGCACTAGATAAAATATTACATATATTCTATATTTTTACAGAACCATACCTTATACATTTAGATAACTCAGAAATAAATTATACACATTTTGATTTAGATTCCACAAAAATAAGAATTTAAATAAATTCATGAAAAGAAAAATTGGGGGTGAGCGTGCTTGTTGAATCTCTCTGTATGATAATGTTTTTTTTCTTCCACCTGTAACATCGATATAACTCGTCGTTATAATAATAATGTCATGAAATTTAAACGACGCGTTTCGATGATATAACAACAAGATTTTTCTAATACACCTTATTCCCTCGCTCCACCGCAAAGTGTAGGGGTGTCATTTTTAAAGCTTTACATACCTTGGATGCTTCTTGTATAATACAGATTTGTTGATGAAAATGACAGACATGAATTCTCTTAACATGAATATTATCGACATTTTGATAGTTTTATACGTTTTAAGAATATCTTTTTTTTAAAAAACAAGCAAATGTGTTTTTTCATTACTTAGATACATTTCATGAATATTATATAAGTATTATGATTTCATTCTCTTAAATTATCTATTCATTTCTTTATATCAAATCATTTTAAATTGAACAAATGATAACTAATATTTGTGTGCACTTGTTATTAATTTTAGTTGATTTTATGTGTTAAGAACAATAGATTAATTACATCATATTTATATTTGATATTAATTGGTAATTTTATTATAAAAAAAAACAGTTTTAAAGTCTTCACGTATTTATAGGGTGTGGCTCTGATTACTGTTGGTGTAAATAAATAATAAAGTATAAAGTATTTCATACAAAATTCTCGGTCGTGGATCGTACATCATCATCGTCGTCGTAGTTGGTGCAAAAACGTGTATATGCTCTTGGTTTGATGCCACTCATATCGTAACGAAATATATTGCGAATACTTTACTACGTTTTTTACTGGGGACAGCAACTCGCTTGCACACATTTACCTTTTTTTCCAACTCGTTTGCTTAAAAAGAATAACTCGATAGCGCACATAAAATGTTAAGTGGGTACCTGGATTTCCACAATATTTACTGGCCTAACACTCACGATTAAATGGCATATAAAATAAATTATGAACGTGTAATGTTCACTGTGAAACTGTACCTAACCTAACTATAAGTACAGAAAATGATATAATCTACACAACCGATTTTGTTTAATTGAAGATAATATACTATTCTAGACTGCTATAGAATATATGATCATTGATACTGATCAACAGATGATTAATGTGTCTTAGGTTGGTTAAAATTAAAAAAAAAAAAATATATGTATACTTTTCGTTATATATAGTTTTTGTTGTGTACACATGAGTTGTACCGTTTAGTGGGTACCTATTTGAGTAACATTATATTAAAATATTAAATACGTTGGTCTTTGGTACATATTATTCCTAGGTACCCAATATATTATTATTGTGCGTATGTGCTCAGTGCAATAAACACTAAGATAAACTTGACCTTTTTATATCGATACCACGGTTCCCACCTTCAGAGCTCCCAATAGTCACAATAAATCAACGGATGTTTTATCTACGAATTGCGATGTTTCTACTTTTTAGGTATTTTTTTCATATTTGTAATATTGATATTAATATACGTCTAATGCCCGGGGTATTAGACAACACTCATGTTGCAACAGCTAATAAAACGCACTAGTTGCTCACACCATTCTGTAGTTCTGTATAAGAATAATATTATAACATTATCTCGTTTAAAAGTATATAATATCAAACACGATGCCTATAATGTATTTTTTAACACTGTTGGCAATATTATGGTTTCTATATTATCTATATCAATACTGGATAATGTTGTAGCTGCTACTAAATCGACACAGGAAAAACACTTATTATCGACTCCGATTAATGTTAAATACATTTGGTTATCTATAATTCGCTGCAGGTCAGACCTTTTTTTTTCGGGGCAACGAAAATCAAAAAAATAAATTATAGTGTTAAAAATTGAAAAAATATTAACAATAATATACCATGTACATTATACAATAAACAAATTATTAGGTGGGCCCATCAGTCTGATCTATAGACTGCAATAGTAATATTAGGAGGGTTGCGAACTTAATGATTTTGCATACCGATTAACTTAATTCATCAATCACAATAATTACCTAACTAGTGATTATTTTTATTTAGCTAACTTTAAATAAAATAGTGCATTTAACTGTAAAAAAAAAATTATCATTTTTAAATATTATAAATAATTTTTATAATATAGGTAAAACTATTTAATTACATTTTTGTTATTTTAAAATTTAGTGGTACGTTTCAAACATTAACATAATATTATTTAGGTACTAGTAATAATTTAAAACAAAATAATATGTTTACCGAAGTTAATTCCTTTCACAGAGTAATATAAAAGACTTGCAAATGTTTACAATTAACATCACGAATTTAAAATAATTAGCAATAATTATTAATTATAATTGAAAAAATCGAACACCTGTGATTCGATGAGAAATCAACAGGAACGAACGACATGCGTCTTCGTGTCCTGTAGGTACCTGATATTGTAATACTATCACTATTATCTCATATAATTGTATATCATACGCGTATCGTCTTTATGACTTTATGAGTCTGACGGTTTTGTCCCTCGATAAATACATACCTAATAGTTGTACATACTACATAGATATATTTTAACATGAGTTATAATATGTGTTATCACCTAGTAACTGAATTTTGACCACCACCATCGTTCTACCCAACGATCAAACCGGATTAATCAGGAATAAATCTAGAAACCACCTATTGGGTAACGACATCTACGACATAACATATTGCATCGTTGGGCATTAATTATGTATTTATGTACTATGTATATGTTTGCAACTGTCTGGGTGTACGTTTGTATTCGTAGTAAACAAATTATTATGAATGGCCTATTTATGGGATACGAACTAATTCATTGCGCAATCGTGAAAGTTATAAAACCTACTCGATGAACTCAAAACTGTGTTAGTTTAGCTGTGGATAGGTATAACGTACTCAACTGTAAGAACAGAAAATATAAAACAAGTTTTTTTTTTGGAAATGGCTTCAAATACTTACATCTTGAAACTACCGTGCTTTTAATAAAATATATTATGCAAGTTATAGTGATAATACAATAATATTAAACCATTTGCTATTTGTTTCAGTTGAACCATGGTAATTTTAAAATTTGATTTTTAATGTTGTGTGTGACTTGAATGCATTCATCGAGAACATATCTTGATAGTTAATATTTGCTCTAAACAAGCATATTTTTAAACCAATGTCATATAGTATATAATAAAGTAGGTATTTACGACTACTGCTGTTAATCTGTACTACAAGTTTTGATCTGTTTCGGATTTTTGCCCCGGAATGTACTAATTCGAAGAGATCTCTTATAGAGACGAAAAATAGGTAAACCTATAATACATATTACATACATAACGAGAAAACCAATCAAAAAATGTGCATATTTAGTTGGAGCTTTGAAAAGTTAATTTGTAAATCTATGTGTGAGTCTTTACAGAAATAAATTGAAAATACGACACTAACTATAATAGAATCACAAAAGTTACTTGAATCCATTTTTTTCACCAATTAGCTCAACAAACTTATATAAAAATATCTTAACTGTTTATATTTAAATTTGCCGTCCAACCAGCGATCCACATAAATTACGCTGTTCTGGATAGTGAGTCAAATAAAATATAATAGCTAGATCACCATTCACAATATTATGATGAGTGGCACTTCATTAGCTTCATTAGTATTAAATAGGTCGTCTTGGGTTTACGAAGCCAATTAATATTTTTATTTCGATGAACCACTTTTTTAATTAATCTTGCGATTAATAATATAATAATTATGATATTTTATGATGTTGTTTTTTCTTTGTTGGTAACTCCTTGAGGTATTTAAGTACTACCTACCGTATTATTGTGAAATAAACATATGTAAATTTCTAATAAATTCTGAGAATTCGTTAGGTAGTATTGTCGTATTTATAAAAAGCTTAAATGCCTACGATTACTTATGAAGAACCTTGTGTTAAACCTTCAAACATTTTGACTGAGTGTATTTTTTTTTTCGATATACTTATATAGAAAAAAAATCTAAAAGGTTAGCCCTAAAGGTAGGCAAGTATAAACTGCTTTTTTGCGCAGTAGGTGTCTAAAGAATCACTGTAATGGATGTGTTAGGTTTAAGAGAGTTCAACGAGAGTCAGGACTATTCTACGCATACCTTCGTTAAAGCGCGGGCCAAGGCTGTGGTAGTATTGTACCTTGTGGTTTCGTCCTCCACAATGTTCTGATGTCTCGTTGAATGCGGTATAGATAGGATAAATTATCTAGAATGTTTAATTAAATTTTGTAAATCTGAGGTATAAAAATACAATTTTTATGAATTTTTTAACGTTAATGTTACTTTTAATGCTTATAAGAAAAATGTAAGCTAATGTAACTCTAATGTTTTAAACTTCAATAGTTATAAAAACTAAAAACATAGCAGGAACTTAATATTTTCAAGTTGTAAAACTAAATGTAAAACATTTCATCGTTATTTATAGAAAAAATTGAAAATGTCTATAAATAACTCAAAAGAGTGAAAAAGTTTTTAACATTTTATCATGAAAATGAACATTTGGTGAAAATGTCAAGTATCTGCAGTTTTTGAATTCCAAACAAAATGAGAAAATCATTAATCTACGAGTGTAGGTATATCAAATATCTTAAAAATGTGGACTCCATACGCCCATAAAGACGTAATTTGACTTTCAGGTAAACATTTTTGTTGTTAAATTTTTACCTTATAAGGAATATCTCGGAATATTGTAGAAAGTTTCTAAGGTTTTTGACCGAAAAAAAAAATTATTTCATTATCACTTAAAAGTAACAACTAGATCTAATATTCTATCAGAAGCCACCCTCAAAGTCGAAGTTTGATACAGTGTTCATACAGACAAAAAAACATACATCATTATAAAATCAATACATTTATCCCTCCACTCAGAATCTAAAATGTAATAATTTATTTTGCTAATTAAATCTCGGTATTGATCAATTGTGCTTTTTATATTAGAATGGGTTTATATTAAATAAAATGTTACTTTATTATTAAGAAATAATGTTATAAAATCAATTTTAAATTTTCATTGAAACATTTGAAATATGTATTCGTTATTCTTAATGTTCGTGTAGTATTATCTTATTTTAAGAACTTTGGTTTGTTTTCGTTTAACATATAATAAATACACATAAAACAATATTATTTAATTCTCTCCTAATATGTCTATTGTTACTGAGGATTATAAAAAATACAACATACAATAACAGTTACATGGAAAGACAATACATAATTTAATAATTATTAATTATCATTGTTTAAAATACAAATAAAATACAGAAAAATCTTCGTTCTTCATTATCAGAAAAAAATAAGTCCCCTTTAATCTCCATGCAATATTGTATAATATAATATTATAATTTTAGCCATTTTTTACTGCAGGGGAGGGCACGGTTGGCTCTAAACACATGTATGGATTTGTCACTAAGAACCCGGGTGGTCACCCACCTGAAACTCATAACTAACATCGGCCGGTGCTGGCACTGAAAACACGTTTGTTACTGAAGACAAACACCATACCACACCAAGACTCATTTTATACTATTATACTTAGTATTATACTATTTATGTACAACACTTTTTTTACCTAGAACAATGACTATTGCATAATTCTTTCATATTGGTCATTAATATTGATCAGCTATTGCGCATTATCTAATTATAATGATTTATTTTGATCCCTCTAATATAATGTAATTTGATATACATATATAATAAACATTAAGTATAATCACACAGTTTGGATTTCAATGAAATATTGTTACCGAGTATAAATACTCGAACAATTAAAACTTACCTATTGATACAAACTTTCAATGGCCAAACACATCATTAATACCTACAACTTGTAGGCTACAAGTTATTATCAAAGTAAAATATTAACAAAAATATTTAAATTTAAAACCACTTAAAAATGTAATCATAATTATGTGTCTTATTCTAACTTAACTTGGATACCTTATTAAGAAATGTTTTAAGTGTTAACATACCTATAGGTAAGTTAAAAAATATTTACTCAGACGAAGCTAAATGTTTTTAACAAAATACTAACAAATAATTTTTATTTTAATAGTAATAGGCTGCTATATACAAGCTATATTTTTGCTTCCATCACTCAATTCTGTTGTTTTATTAATTTAACATTTTTAAATAAAATAATAATTAGGCATAGGTACACTGGAATCTAATACAAACTCTTGAAATTCAAATCGACATAATATTTCAAATTATACAACACTAATAACAATTAATATTTTACAACACATTTTTTGAACAATAAAAGGCATTAAATATACTATAATGCAGCACCTTCAATTATACAATAATCGTTCTATAGCCTAAACATGTAAGTGAAGCTCACTCTGCAAGCTTGTTAAATTACCGGGTTCTAAAAGTATTTTAAATTTTTATACAATGCAATAAATTATAAATTCATATACAATTTATGTAGAGTGACTCTACTAAGAAGAATAAATTCCTTAATAAAAACAATCGTAACTACTAACTATGCATTTATTGGTAACTTACGGAAGGATAGACGGATACAACAGGGATATAAGGTGTTCTAAGCATATGTTTAGAAACCTAAAATGCAGTATATGATCAGGTAGACAATCCACTTGTGGTGGATTGCGAACCACGCTTGGTACTTACTCTGTATTAATATGTTTTTTTTATTTTTTTATTATTACACACCAATGATTGGCTATAAGTGCAACTCAGCCACCTCGGTATACAATGATCAAATTAGATTTGAGATGATCAGACAAATTTGATTTGATGCATGTTTATACTTGATCTGCCCGATTAATCAACATCAAACAATAAACAAGAACAAATACTAATTTCTATAAAATATATTTGTAATTCTCCTATAACCAATAGCCACCATTTATAAACAAACATTTCCTTCGTAAATCTCAAAATCCTAGATTATCCAGGGAACCACTCAAACACACAGGAACAATTGCATCCATCCATTTAGACAGGCATAAAGAACAGGCATAAAGAACAGACAGACAGACATTCTTATACATATAGATATAATATATTATGAATTATGATAATTTAACTTGTTCATTATGTAAGCAAACTTAAACAAATATCTGATAATTTAAATAAAATGAAAATTGCCTATAATATTTATAAATAATCTAATAAATATAATACAAATATAATATACAATACAATGTTAGAAAAACTTAAACAAAATCTAGTACTACATTATTTATTAATATTCAATGATTGCATAATTTAATTAGAAGGTACCTATGACATAAATAGATTGTTGTCTTGTTCTTAACGTTCTGGTAGAATATCTTTCCCAGAAGTATTTGCACTTCGCATATAGTGTCCTAAAAAATAGTGCGTTTATTAATCAAAAATATTTTTTTGAGATAAAGCATTACTCACAAATAAACAAATAAAATAGGCATAGTCAGTATGACATACATCAAAATCATTAAACAAAAGTGACCGAATTTAGTGGAATACATATTATCACATGCGGTCTTATATGCCATAATTATACCAAACGTCATTACAGAGTTTATACATGTTTGAATGGAATAAAATCGTCCTAATGCAAAAATAACAATTTGTACAGTTCCTTAATAGGTAATTAATATTTTTGAAAATATGCTAATATCTATACCAAGGTGATCGTTCTGAACCAATTTAGATGCTAGCGAAATTGTAATTGTTACAGCACTACCATGACTTAAATATATCATGGCAACTATAAATAGAATATTAATTATTTTTCACACAAGATAGAATATAATATATGTATATTGATAATATTGATTAAAAAAATAACTTTAAAATATTTACTAATAAAAATTTGCCAAAAACGATTTGAAATAACGTATAAAACAGCAGCAATGATGTAAATGATGCAAGCTGAAATACCAATAGCTAGGTCACTTATTTTCATATTGTAACTCAACACAAAAACTGAGAACATAGAACCTGAAATAAAATTCTACACTTAAATAAATAAAGTAAACATACATTAAACATACTCATTAAAAAAGTATATTATTGTGACGTATTAAGTAGGTGTATAAACTGTTGATATTGACTGTGTAGAAAAAACAGTATTACGATTTTACTAACAACTAAAATTATAAAATAATAAAATGTAAGTAGAAGGAAAGCGCGCTTAAAAATAAATAAACAGTAAGTCAGTACCTACGGCATTCCTATATTAACTATTAAGCTCAATAAACTAATTTGAATAAAAGGCTACATAGACAATATGACATATGTTGTTATAATATTATGTTATATTTATTATGACGGGTTGATTATTAATATGATATTAATTTTAATAAACACGAAGTGTTAAAATAAAAAATATTTAAATTGCTAAAATCATATCAAACATAGAAAATATTATATTAATATTAATTGGTAGATTTTGTTTTAGTTATAAATTACGTCTATGATTTAGTAGGTATTATAATTTATATCAGATAATATAACATTATTATTTATTTCCACAAAAAAATTTTTCTAAAAAGAATTAATAACATACTTACAATAAAAAACACAAATAATTACCAAAAATTGTAGCCAACATTTTGATAACACTGAAATAAATATAGTCGTCATTGTACCAAATAAACGAAGTTCTTACATATTGCATTATTATTTCATATTCACCTGAAAAATTGATTTAAGAGGGTATAAATGTACATTATAAATATTATTTTATGTATTGCATCACAATAAATGTATACAATATACGCCTTATACTGGGTCTATCTTATTGATACCAGTTTTTTTAACGATAATGAATCGATGATATCGAAAATACAAAAAACACGTGTTTCTTTATTTGTAATAGGTAGGACATTTTTTTACAACAATTTAAAAATTGTTGAACACGTAGGGCCAACAGCAAAATCAACTTTATATTTTCAAATGACAATAACTATATTTTTTAATGGATTCTGGTAAAACTTTTTTTCTGAAAATGTTGATGATCAAATCATCTATTTTTTTCACTAGTTTATTGTGTACGGTTTTCTAACGTTTAGTAAATACTTTAATACTCTGAATTTAAATAATTGGTATAAATTTAATGTAAAATAGCTAAATATCTTTTTCTTTCAATTATCTTTTGATACACTAAAATCGATAATCTAGTGCGACGCTCCTAAAAAAATTTTGGGATAAATCCCTACAAAATGTTTGCAAACATAATTCGTTATTTTTATTTTAACATACAACCATTAAAATAAGTATTATAAATAACTTTTTTAATTAAATTTATACCGATTCTTTCAATTCAAAGTATTAATGCATTTACTAAACTTTAACGGACCACAGTCGATAAACTAGTGAACCGAAATTGATGATTTGACTATCAAAATTTTCAAAAAAAAGCTTTACCAGAATTCATTAAAAAATATGGTTACTATTTGAAAAAAATTAAAGTTGATTTTGCTGTTGGTACAACAACGTGTTCAACAATTTTTAAATTGTTATAAAAAAATATCCTGTAAAAATAAAGAAACACGTCTTTTTTTGTTTTTTTTCGAAATCCCATATCATTGATCGTTAAAAAAACCTTCGTACAATTACGTAAGATACATCAGGTATATATAAAGTACTTTAAACATTATGTTGCAATAAACTTACTTCCTATTCTCGCTACTATGACTGCTTGGCATATTATTAAAGTTCCTAGCACTATAGGAAACCCCTTATATTTGTTTTTAAATAAACCAATGAAACCTTTAAACAAAGAGTTTGGGCTCAACCATATTCTTTGTTATAAATATCAGAATTATCTTCAATATACAAATGGCCAATCAGTATGGCGAACAAATTAAACAATATCGGTACCACGAACAATATATAACGATGTAAATAGTCCATCCCATCTTTTAAAATTTCAACTAAACCCCACCCTATTAACAAACTGAAGGTATATGTTACAATAATTATCCCGTGTTTCAAAGTTCTAGATTCAAATTTTGAATTTTCTGATACATATGACATCACACCAACCCAAAACATATTTCGACCAACGTACAATCCAGGGATAACTGATGTAAAGATTATATTAAATGTTGAAGGCCAATGCCAAAAGTGATTCACAAAGTATAATCCATCGGTTAAAAATTGTCCAATAATTGGTAAGAAAATCAAAGGTTTACGTCTTCTGCCATGACTGTCGCTCCATGCTCCTGAAATTACACGTCAATACATTTTTTTTTTTAGTTATAGTAATAAATAGGTAATGATTTAATTATTTAACAGCTTTGAGCATTTTTTATAAGTTAAAATTTAAAAAGATGTTCAAAAAATTTTAAATTACTAGGTATACGTGAAACATTTTTTTCCATAAATATATGAATGAGACAACACAATATTTTTCACATAAAACAATGGAAAATCAGAATTTGTTAATGTTGTATCATTGGATCAGTAACGTTAAGCTAATCTGAAAACATTAATGATACTCCTAAACTGGAATACCTAAATGTATATTAATTGCATTACTCAATACTAAATACAATTAATTAAGATAACTCAATAAATACAAATAAAATATATTTTATGATATGTATTTGTATAAATAGTATATATATTTTTAATTCAGTTTATTTTTCAAATGTTTAAATGTTTTTTAGTTAATAGATCTATTTTTATTCAATCACTAAATAATCAACAAATAAACTAAGCACCCATTTTAAATTGCTAAAATATTTCTAATGTGAATAGATACTAACAAATATATAGAGTCAATATAAATGTTAAAATGTTAAATAATATTACGATGATGACATTTTTTATTTTATTTTTTATTAGTATACAGATTTAGAACAATAATCTAATCTTCTTGATATTTTAATCTTTATATTTAAATGTTAATGGTAATAATTTCAAATTATGATATTATAATTTTATGAAAAAAAACCTACTAGATTTGTAATAATATATTATTATATATTCAGCTTCTAACTACATTTACATTATGTTACACATATCTTATACTAAATATTACAATATTACAAATTTACTAGATGAATATAAAAAAATATAATATATTACTATACATGAATATGAATGGTTTAAAATTAAATTGAAAGTTTATAAGCAGGTGCTAAAAATATCAAAGCTATAATATTCTAGTTTTGCCTAGTTCTAAACTCTTAATGAAGATACACATGCAAAAATTTTGAATATGATTTTCTACATTATTATTTTTATTAATTTTTTATCAATAATGTACCAATACATATAAGATATAAATCAATATTCGCTACGATATGACTTCAATTGACCTGTTTGGCTGTGAAAGGTTTTTTTGTTTTACTTAATCAATATAAATAAATTAGGCATTACTAATTACTAATAAATAGCAATTATATAATACGAATTATCATTAAAAAGTTAAGCCACTTAAACAATCTAACGAGTACTGAGTAGGTAAACAATAATAACCTAAGATATACATATGTATATATTACCAAGAATTTATAAAATACTAAGTCTGATATATTTTTTTTAAAGTATCATTACACGAACATAGTATACTTAAAAAGTCAGAAATAATATATTTTTGGTATTAGCTCCTGCTAAGCATAAGTTCTTTCAATTCAGTTACCTATTAATGTAAGATAATACATTTTATACTGATAAACCATTGTATTCTAGTTTCTAGATACTGTAAGAAGAACTCACTTATTTATAAACATTTTTTGAGGTATATCTACGCAAAATTTGTCAACAATTATAGTCGATTCGTTTGCCTTATATTTAGGGAAATTACAAAAATAATGAAAAATATGATTACTTATTAAATTAGATGCTAACTATACAATATTATGCGCAAATGATAAATAGCTAATATAGTAATATGGTTACGTGTCAATTAAGGTGAATATCACAGAAATAAATAATATACATTGAATTTCAACTCTAAATCTAAAATAAGTACATATTTAATAAGTTGTCTTAACTAGTATCAACATAATAATATATTATAAGAACCTGGTTCACTTTTTAACGCATGCGAACAATAATATGATATTATACTGTACATGGTGTAATTGGTAGATATTTTATTCTAACTACCCCTCGCATTTGCCACCCACTACGTATAGCCTAACTACCCGTTTTTGATTATTTTATTGAATTCATACATACCTGCTAGTAATACAACAATGAATGAAATGGAATATTGTAAATACGTAGTGTTCGAATACAAACGGCGTCGACCTTCATATTCACCTACTAGGCATTCGCCAAATGGAATTAACGGGTCACACGTTGATTTCTGCATCAATGCATTTTGAACAGAAGTCGACACCGTCAGTGCTGTGGTATAAAGTATCGTCACTATTATAAGGAAACGCTCTGGAGCGCAGTGGTATTGTGTAAGGTCCATTATCAATTTACGACTGTATGTTTGAATTTGAATGCAACGAAAAGTACAAAATATATGAGATAGTGAACTTCTAGCGAATACTGCATAAGAACTTATCAACACTCTGAACTCTGAAGTGTAGTCGACTGTGTAGATCTATTATGAGACCTACAATTGCGTAGGTATAGACATGTATGTATGCTCACGCGGCTCTATAGTCTGCAATATTTCAGTTGACTCATCTTGTATTAGATAATTGATAATTAATTGACAAAATGTTGATGAGCCAGTTGTCTATAAGTTCGTAATATTATTATGTACCTATTACACTTTGGTTAATATAGTGTGTACTTACCGCGTTCACATCAGTGGATGGTGGACAATACGTTATAAGTTGGAAACAATATAATTCTTGTTTTCTGGGTGTTTGCAAGACAAGATAGTATGCCATATAGTATAATATTGGTACCTACTTACACAAGAAACGAATAAATATAAGCCGACGGTTTTATTTAATCTGTTTTGCAAACGTAATAAATGCCAAAATACTGCATTCAAGTAATGCAAATAATATGTCCTAATAATATGTAAATAGTCAGTAGGTACTAACAATTACTACTAAGTATTATTTAATTTTTTTTTTTTGTTCAATATTATTTATAATTTTATAAGTGTTGATTACAGACTAGTAAGTTGATATTCATAATATTATCAATAACTTCGTCTTCGTGTATTTTGATATTGTCATAAAGTAAATCCAAAAAACATAATAATATACAAAAATAATTTGTTTATTTTATTAGATATAAATGGCGTATTTTGTATACAAATACAATATCTTTTATTATTTAAACAGATAACAGTACATTTTTAAAATAATTAATAAAACAAGTGTTTAGAAACTAAATTAATAGTTAAAATGTGTTTATATTTACAATGAGTTGGGTGGTTTTGACAGTTTTGTAATCTATGCGGTTATAGATTGTAAATATAACTATTTTGATGTTTTCCCATCTTCTACTGATTTCAAATGTATTACATTTGATTCATCATCCTTATTATCTTTTTCATTTTCACTTAGACGATACTGTTTTATGTCATCCCATGGCTGTACTTCACCAGATCCAAAAAACGCAAATATAATAGATGTTGACATCATGATTATCACCATGATCCAAAATACCAAACGCCATTCCAAAACGGTTCTCTAAAATATTAAATATATTAAATGATATCATACTAAATACCATAATATTATACACCAGGTGTCTAGTAATATAGAATTAGCATTTGAAAAAAATTAAAATATTCAGCTTGAGTTAAGTAAATAAATTTGAATTATTGTTTAATTTGTATTAATAAATTCGAAATCTTACATTTGGTGTAAGGATTCCAACGATGTATGGAGTGGCCATTCCTGACAAACACCCAATACCATTTACCAATCCCATCAGAGTAGCTGAATAATTGGGTGACAAGTCAAGTGAATTAATACGTAAGCTAGGATAACAAAATCCCATGAGGGCCATGCCCAACGTAAAACACAATGTTGCAATGATTTTATTACATCCAACAAACGAAGCACACATCACTCCCAAAGCGGGACCAAGATTTCCTGAAAGCATATAAGAATTTGTAATTTTCATAAATTGTTTTGGATGACATATTTTAGTGATATTTTCACTCAATGTTTATACCTATAATGGCATATATTTTTCTGACTTTCGTGACATTCACTGATCCTTTACTTATCAGGCGATCGGCTAATACACTGGCAGCAACCGATGTGACCCATTGGGCGAGAAATGGGATGGACGACAACAAACCGTTCTATACGATACATTTTTTAAATTAGTATGAAATGAATGTACCTTGTTCATTGGAATACAGTCTTTGCTTTCAACTTACTTCAGTCACGGAAAAGTGCAAGACATCGCTCATGTACTTGGGAAGATCACTGATTATAGTGAAAGCGCCCCAGTCATGTCCTGCTCCAGCGATGACCAGCGCCCATACTGGCCCAGAGGTTAATATGGATTTCCAAGGTGTAGGCGTCAGATCCTGTACACATAAATAAATATCTTAGTTCGTACTATGTTATAACAGAGGAGGGCGGACTAAAAAATGGTCAGAACCTTTTTCCTTTCTAGTCTTCCGATGGATTTTTTCAAGTAAGCCCGTTCTTCGTCCGAGATGAATGGGTGGGAATTTGGATCATTGTATACGAAGATGCACCAGAGTATAAACCAGATGATTGAAACAATACCGAAAAAGTAAAAGACGTTCGGCCAACCACCAGGTATGTACCGCATGATAAACCCACTCAAAAAGTTTGACAAAATATTACCAATTTGCGCACCTGTGTATAAAGTTATCATGGTAAGTGTACAATGGGATTCTGTATCGTGTATAAGTATAATAATTACCTGCAAACACCAGCGTGGCGAACTTGCCTTTCTCTTCGGGGGGTGCCCACTGCGCCAGTAGGGTGCAAAGCGCCGGAAACGTCATGCCCTAAAGTGAAAAAAAAATAAACGCATAAAGTTCTTAAGTACAACCGAGTTCAAGTTAAAAAAGCGATTTATTTATAGATTCAATATACATAATAAATATTAGAGTAATGAGATCAAACTCTGTTTATGGTGAACCTATCGAAAAATATTTTTCTGAAAACATTAATAAATAATTTTACATTAAATGCCGTGGACTATTATTGAAAAGCTCTCTTGATGCATATTTATTTTATACTATAATAGAATTTTAAAATAGTTCTTGGCATTTTAAACCCATTGAATCTTCCATGTACATTGTTCATACTTTAATGTTACATAAAATATTCAGTTCTTAAAAAATGTACGTGTAACTATTTACTAACATTTTTATTCAATTTAACTTTTAATTTTTACAAGTTAAAATAAAGAAAAGTCTCTTTAAACTTTAAACTTCGCCTCCATTGTTCTATATTAACATAAGTCAACAAGTGAACACAGTTATTAGTCAACTTGAATAGCCTCGGTAATAAAATAAAATATGATAACCCATATAGGTTCAGGTGACATATAATAATATTGTACACGTGCTCATTACTTCACCAAGTCCTTCGACGAACCGCAGGATAAACAGCGGCCTGGACCCGATATGTGCCACAAATGGTGTCATCAGCGTGAATATGGCCGTGCATAGTATGCCTATGCCCATGGTGTGCTTGCCTCCGAACCTCTGGGACAGCGCGCCGCCGGGCAGATGCGTGAGTATGTAACCGTAGTAGAACGCCGACAGTACTTCTCCCTGCGTCTCTTCGTCCCAGTCGAACCTCCGGCGGCCGCCGTGCACGTGCCCTTGCGCCGCCGCCGCCACAGTCGCCACTGACGTCCGGTTGGACGCCGACGTGTGCAGTCGATCTTGCGCCGTCGTCCCAGCTGGTAGTGGGCAGTAATCGTGTTGCACGGCCGTTAGTGGGTCACTACGCCGACCCTGCACCTGTACAGGCATAACCATTTGCGTGAGCGTGATACCCAAGCACGCCCGCATCACGTACGCCATCGTCACGCCCAGCATCCCCATCAAGGCCATAACCCATCTCTGGGATACGTGTCCTGCACAGCCGCAAAACCGGTCCACCGGGATAAGAAACGACATTAAACAAAGCCAATATTCAACTATTATTATTTTAGCAAAGGTATGGGCATTAACTAGGTATAGTTCAAATGAGTTAAAGCGAGGTTAGATGGTTATTTTTTTCAAACTTTAAACTTTAAAATTAGTTTGTTAATTTTTTAATACATTTAAAAACTTAAATATAATCCATTTTAATAACTTAACTATTTCTAACTGATTTAAATATACATTACCTAAAACTGTAGTCAAAACTAATTACTTTAATATTTTTTTTGTTTAATCAAATAAATAATACATATAAACAAATAAATATTCCTTGAATCAATTTAGTTTATACAAACGTCTAATTACTTAAAGTGCTATAGCTACTAGATACGTTAATCAGTTCTCGTGACTACTTGCAATATATTACATACATATTGTAATATTTATAAAAGTTACAAAAAAAAAGTTACACAATCTCCATATTATATATTTATATAATAATGTATATATGTATATTAATATAATAATATACATATATTTATATATACATATCTATATATATATATATATATATAGTGTTATAGAAATAGTCACTATATAGTAATTATAGGTAGTAATTTTAAAAAAAATTAATGAATTTCTTTTAACACAGAACTAAGTTAATATTTGCTCTGAGTTAACTTCCAACTTTTACATTTAAATATATTATTTGTTAACCATTCACTTAATAACTTAATATTTTTTACTTTATTGCGATTTAACTAGCTCAAATTTATTATGTTTATATGAACTTACTCAACTTTAATTATTTGTATACTATACACGTTTTATATACAAACTATCTAGTGTGCACTGAACGATGGATGGGGTGAAGATAAATATGTCGTTTGCACAGAACCAAATGATGCTAAGTTGATTATTTTTTAATAATACGCTTTATATAATATTATTACATATTGGTGTAATATTATCAATGCTCTAAAATTCAAGCTCACCAGCAACAAAGTTGAATACCTTTGCTAAATCAACACATTTCAAAATGTTTTAATCTAAAATCTAAATAGAACCTAACGTTTCTTAACTACACACGGTTAGTTCTAACACTATTATTTTATAATCAATAGATTCTATCTAAAAGTGATAAAATTAATTTGTGATAGTCAAAAACTACGGTTTAACATTAATAGGGTCAACCATTCAATAATACTCGTAACCATAACATAGAACAGTCATATTATGTTAGTTATAAAATCAAGATATTACATTCTCTTTTGTTTAATCGAAATATTTTTCTTAGAAAACAAACATTTAATTCAGAATGAAAAAATTATTACTAGCAATAATAATAAGGTTGTACCTATCTGACAAAAAAATTTAAAAAATGGGTAAAGTGAAGTATCAATAATCACGTCATGTCGATTGTAAAATAATACACATATTTAAATGTGGTAAGTGTCTCAGTAAGTTTGCCCTATCCATAGAAATAGACAATTGTTTTAGGTATAATCAGGGGTAGATCAAAGAATGAAAAAAGGTTGGGTTAAAAACAAATTGTTCAACAATGATCTATGTTTATTTTACTATGACACGGTAGGTCTAATATATATGCAGTATATGGCCCATAATATTGGCCTCAGCATTTTTATTTACAGACGATCCTATTGCTTAATGGTTTTCATTTATAAATATAAAACATATAATGTATACTTCTATCGTGTGAAGCGGGGTGAAGGTTATGTACATCAATTATTATTACCACGATAACGTCATGCAAAAGTGGTCGGTCCTTGTTGGTATCAATAATAATAATAATAATAACATTATAAGTAATAAGTGGGTTTATAGACAAATACGTTTGCAGAAATTTCGTCAGTGTCAACAGAAGGATCATAATATCTTATCATACTAAACAAGATACCTACATATATTATTCTGATAAAGGTACATGTCTACATTCGACAAAACAATTACAATTTTTGGTTTTCTTCGAGAAATGTACCAGGACGGTAGCTTAACCAAGAAAAGTTTGAGGTACCTAGTCCATATAAAAAAAAAACGTATCCTGTGTACCTTATTATTGTGTAACCTTTGAGCACAATTCAATAGTGTTCACTATTCGATATTAAGAATGGTTATTTTATTTAAAAATCTATAAAACAAACATTTTATACTTAACAGAATATAATAACCATACAATGAGAAAACTAAATGCACTGGAATAATTACAGATTGATATGAAGTTAATAATGCCAGGACTAAAAATATAAGCTGTTGGATGACATTATTATTATAATGACTAATAAACAGAGATAATTAAGTTTGAAATCTGCTTTCTACAACAGCCATTTACTATGATTACAGATTAGTGATTATATTTGTTGTATTGTTGTATACGATTGCTTACTTTATTTTTTAATAAGATACATTTTTAAGTTATAATAATTAAAACATTATTTTAATTGATCGTTTTTACTGTAAAAATCATAATTAATAATTACTAATCAAACTCGACAACGATACGTTTATAAATTGATTTATTCGATTTTTATTAATCATAGTACATTGATAAACAAATAATGTATGAAACAAGTAACAACTAATAAAATTGTTTGAACACATTATAATTAATGTACCTATGAGTGTTCAGTATAACTTGTTTTGAGTCTTGCGATTTGATTTTCTAGATCGTAATATAGGTTGGGACCTGTATTCATTTTTTTTAAATATTATTAATTTTAATTTTTACATTGATTATTAGCCATAGTCATTGATTTTATTTATGTTTAAAATAAAAATGTTATATCTGAATCAGGAACCTTTTCGTTATAGATGAAATTAATTACTTATTTTACTAAAAATAAATACATGTTTATTTTGTTTCAGGTATTATTTTTAGGTATCAATATTCAATATTTTTTACTTACTTATATTACTTTTGAATTGTTTAAATATACTATCGGCGTATAAGGGCACACATGCACAATAAGCGTATGGGACATGGGTAAGGTACATAATTATTAATTATGCATTCAAAATACATGTTTATATAAGTGGACAAACGTTGAGTAGAGAAATCTATTAATGATACTCACAGTAATATTTCATAGAACTTAAAATTCATCAGTAATACAAATTTTAAGTATTGCGGGTTTAACGCTTCTCCTTATTTTAATGCTGGCATTTTATCGTTATATTTTTATTTTAAAACTTTATTTTACCAAATTTAAGTTTTTATTTAGTAAAGAAGTTTTACCCTATTTAGTTAATTAGAACTAGAGTTCACATATTAAAAATTAAAAATAATAAATGTTCTCATTATTGCAATATTCGCGGTCAAGACATCAAAGCATGACTAAAACATAAAATGTTCACATTTTAACTGCCACAAAAGTAAATAAATAACTCGTGTAAAAATTTGGTTAATGGATATTTACATCGCATAGTTATGTAAATAATTATTTTGTAATTAGAATAAAATATCAAACCACTGTACTATAATATATCTAAGTAGTACTTATGCATACCAACCTACTAGTAGAAAAAATATTATATTATAGTATAAATAAGAAAAAACATGCTATTAAAATGTTTAGGATTAACATTTACTCACGTGAATTAAATATCATAGTGATCGTTAGTATATTGCTATAATTCTCTTGGTGTCTGTGTATCTTGTGTGAGAATCGTTTATTTTGAATGATAATTTATAGGTGACCGTCGTAATTCGTTCGAAAAATCGTTTATGAAAATGTTCTCATTGGCTTTTTGACCAATCAACTTGTTGCAGTAATGATACCGTATACAAAAATCGTGAAAAGTATATAATATTATGCATCTAAATTTATTTAAGATCAGACGCGAGACGTTGCTGTAATAATAGTTTTGTTAATCTGTAGAGTCCGGCTGCATCTACATAATATAATGGTCAGTTTCTTCACAATTAATTGTATTGAGACACGAAATAATACTGTGGTCGTATGATTCGAACGGAGTGATTAGTATGCTTATTTTGTAAACCAATCATCTTATCTGAATTAATATATTGGAGTCATATCAATTTAATTATATTTTAGTGATTATAAACACGCTGAATGCATACAATGTTTTATAATATTGTTATAAGTACCTGCCTTTTAAAATATTAAGTTTTAAATTAAATAGAAACTTTTACTTTTTGAAATACCACCTTGTAATACAGTACCTATATGGTAAATTGGTAACCTTTGGATGATAATTTTATCAAGGGTCAGCGATTATCTGTAAAGTAAATTTTAATTGTAATTTTTTTAATCGTTTAATATACGGAATCGTTTAATTTGCCAATTTGGAATTAAATAGTGCTTTAAGATTTAAAATGTCTTTAATTAATATTCTAGACAAAATATATATTTTTAAATCGTGAAGTATTATTTTATACAGACTATACAAGCGAAACATACCTAAGTTAAATTTTTCTTAATTATAAATAAAAATCATTTAGAACTTAGATAAACTCCGAATGGAGTTGATGATAATCAAACAAGAATAATATTGAAGAAAATATATACTCCGTAATCCTGACCATTAAATACATTTCAGTTATGAATAAATAAATGTTACACATACGAGTATACGACAATTAATAAATTGAATAATATTTTATTTTTTTATTTACCTAATTGTTTAAAAAAATATTTAGCTTTATAAAATTAAATTTAAAAAGACAATCCCGAAAAATAGAAGATAATATTATGTCATAGACTATGAGAGCATGGTTCACTGTAGCATTGTTGTATGCAAGTTTCTACATATTATTATATTTTCTATTTACTTATTAGTTATTATGTCAAGATAACACAACTAAAAATTTAAAGCAAAAATAAACAAATAATATAATTTTCCTTCTGTTTTAAAAAGTTGATTAACAACAATTATGTGTATTCAATTTCCACAAATAAAATATAAAATAACATTAAAACATTATTAACTTATGACGTATATATATTGTTTGTCTTCAGTGGTATCGTTTTGCCAGACATGTTTGTACTTGGAATACAAAATCCTATACAAATTGAATATAAATATAAGTTAATATAAGTAAATAAATAATGTTTGAGATTAAAAATACTTACGAAAACACATATAATATGGGTAAAGTCAAAACAGCGTATAATATACAGAACAGACACAAATTGTCACATCTAGAACTATACATGGGATTAAATACAAATTGATAAGCCGTAACTACAACAAGAGTCAGTAAAGAGTTCATACACATTTGTATGGCATTTAAACGACCTAAAAAAAATATAAATATTACAATTTTTTAACAACGTTGAAAAATAATAATATAATAAAAATGTATACTCAAATACCGAGTTGTTCGATTGGCACCAATTTAGATGTTAACGAACTAACAATAGTGATTGCTGTTCCATGGCATAAATAAATGATTGTAACTACAATACAAAATAAATTATTAATATATTGGAATAGATATAATATAAATTAATATTTACTCAAAAATATTTGAAAAAATAGATCGGCAAAAATGTAGCATACAGCGGCTGCGATATAAAAGCAGCAAACTGAAATACTAATTAGTAAATCGTTTATTTTCATACAATGACTTAAAACCGAAACCGAAAACACAGTTCCTGGAAACAAAAATAAGGTATTTTAAATAAGCTTAAGTGAAAATATGGAAAACGATTTTAAAAAAAAGCGGGTAAGTGGATGTCGTTCTACAGTTTATTAGGTATCTAAGAAATCGCTGTAATGGATGGTATTAATTTTAATTCAATGATATCAAATCATTGTATACGAAAAACGATTCTGAGCGGAGACGGTATATGTCAGTTTAGGGAATTTTATATTGTTATTACTTATTATTATTATGGTAATAAATATATATCGTAGCCGGTAAGTCGAATTAAAATTATTCTTAAATTATCAGTGATACTGGAATATATTAAATACACCTATGTAAAATTGGACTGTTTTGAAACCGAATTACAACTAAATGACAAACGTTACTCTTTGTGTTAATATGTGATTTTGTCCAAATTTGAACTTAAAATGTCTTTACAAAATAACTGTATTCATATATTTTTTAGATTTCTTAGTTACAGAAAAACTGCTTAAATATACCTACATGTTTAGATTGCAAATTCCTAACACCAAAATAATTCTTCAACAAATAATTTGTTAATAAAATAGTTTTTTCTAACAATTAATATAATTAAATAATTACCGAAAAATAAGGCCATCATTTTTAAAACAGCAAAATAAACTTCTTCATCATTATGGTACATACGTGATGAAGTTACATAATTCATTACTAAATCATAGTCACCTGAAATATACAATTTCAACATAATTTTCAATGTAGGTATACCTAATAAACACACAAAAAAAATATATTTATTACGTACATCCTATTCTAGTTACTAATATTGATTGACATATTATCAATATAGCTAATACAACAGCTGAGCTCTTTAATTTATCCTTAAATATATCGGTAAACTCCTTGAGAACATATTTTGGTCTCTGCCACACAATTTCTCTATTACAAGAGTCAGATGTGTCCTTGACGCGCAAATCCACAACCAATAAAGCAATCAAATTTAACAATATTGGTACAAAAAACAGAAAATCATAAGCACGATATCGTACGACTATTTTTAATAATGCAACCAATCCCGCACCCATTAAAGAACTTATAGGATAAGTTGCAATTATTATTCCATGTTGTAAAGTCCTTGATTTGACAGTTGAATTTTCTGATACATATGACATCAGGCCAACCCAGAAAATATTTCGACCAACGTAGAGTGCAGGACTTATCCATTGCAAGATAATATAATGATAATTAAACCAATTCCAATGGCTTATGCCAAAGTTTAAGCCGTCTGTTAAGACCTGTGCTATAATCGGTAAGATAATCAAAGGTTTACGTCTTCTTCCCTGACTGTCACTCCATGCACCTGAAAATAATTAGTCATATTATTAATTGAAACCGATTTTGAGTAAAACTTCTCGTTTTCCTTATTTTTTTTTTTTGTTTTTCTCAGCCCTTTTGAAAAATACTAGGAATTTTAGATTATTTGACTTCTCGAATGCACCAACTAGATTCACATTCCCACCAGAAAAGATACTTAAGTTGAAAATCGAAGCATAGTAAGTATAGTCAAAATACTTATTGTTTACACAGACACAAAAAAAATGCGGAAAGAACCATCCAGTGACGTAATTCGAGTGACTTCAATTGCTTATGGTACATACTGAATAGTGTAGGTATGCACTAAAAAAATTGTATGGACATTATCACCAGAGCCTTCTGTGTGGGTTTTCGGCGATAACGTTTGTTAATAAGTTATTAACGTGCATAGGCGCCGGCAGGAATTTTATCAGGGGGGTGCATCGTTCAAGTATACGCTGATTTCTAAATAATGCTTGTATAAGTAATAATAATAATAGTAAAAAAAATAATAATAATAACAATAATGATAATTAATAATAATAATAATAGTTAAATACGTAAAAATATTTTTTCAAATTGTATAGCGATACAAAGTTATTTAAGTTTTTTTTTTCAACGGCTACAATGTAAAAGCGGACTAGTGGCTACTACGAAAAAATCCGAAATTCAATTGAAAAAAAAACCTAGGCGTTTACCTTTATTATTTAAAAAATAAGTATTATAATACATAATATAAATAATATTTATATACGATTATGTAAAATAAGTATAATAATAAATAATAGAAATAATGTAGATAATTATGTAAAATAAAACAGTTTCAATACCATTCAATTTTTTTAATTTTTCTTTTTTGAAAAACCAGGGGAGTGCAAGTACACCCTCTTGCACCCCCCATCGCGGCACTCATGTAATAACGTGGGAATTACTGTGGTTTTGAAGGTGGCTTCTAAAGTTGGAATAGTGTCTGGACTTTGTACTAATGTGGAAATCTGTGTGGATTGTGAAGGGTATTGTGTAAGATGTTTGATAGAGGGCATTGATCTATGGATTTTGTTATGGACTATTTGAATTTTTTGTGCATTCGTTTGTTTGCTGATCCCCATATTTGTATACCATATTTATATAATATGCGGGGTCTTATAATGAGTATTAGGTTTTAAATAAAACACATTTTAGCTTTAAGATGGATTTTTGAATTTTTACTTAGGATAGGCTGGAGTTGATAAACTTATCTATTTTGTTAAAGGAATGTATGTGTTTCACCCGAGTCAGACGTTTATCGAAATATGGTCCTAGGTATTTGTTTATGCAGCTTTATGCATAGGTTATTGTCTAAGTATATAGGTAGGGGTTTGCCATGGTGGAGAGTGAATGTTATATAGACACACTTATTTTCATTACATTTTGACACACTGCATTGGGAGTACCAGATAGATTGAGTGTTGAGTGATTTTGATAGATCTTATTGGTATAATTTAATTTTTTTAATCATTGATTATTCTCTGATGATGAATGAAAATGGTTAATAAGTAATGACCAACAGGTAACAGCAACCCGCTACAGCAGCAGTATGCTAGTAATGCTAATATATGCTTAATATTTTTTATTTTTGTATACATTCTATACATTTCTACATTTTAAACTTTCATACTATTATACTGTACATACACATTTATTCACAAATGTTATTGATCAACGACAATATAAAACAAATGTTTATTTTTGGAAATACAAGTAATGTTGTTATTGGAATCAGCGGTGACAAACTCAGTGGCTCAATCACGATTTTTCGGATTTACTATACCTATAATATGTAGTTTGTACTTACCTGCAATTAAAGCAACTGTGAAAGAAATTAAATACTGTAAGACACTAGTACTCGAATACACCAGGTGTTGACTTTCATAAACACCAACTAGGCATTCACCGAACGGAATTAACGGCTCGCAGGATTTTCTAGTTAGCAAGTTGTCTTGAAAGCTAGTAGACACCGTCAGCGATGCCGTGTAAAACACAGTCGCTATTATCAGGTATGGGTCCTGACTGAAGCCCTTCCGTTTTAGGTTCCCTGACGGTTTGCGGATGAACATTTTAAAATTACTGAAACAGTTGAAATTACCACAAGTCCTAAATAATCAATGTCACCATATACTATTATAATACCACTCTCAGTAAATTTGTATGATATATTATGCTGCAGTGACATACATAATAATTTATATTTTGACACATCAACTCATCTGCGCGCATGCCCGTAAAAACTGCGCGTAATAGCGTGTATAGAAATGTCTAAGTATGCAAAAGTCTTTAGTTACGTGGCGCGTAGGTACTAGAATTTTACTTAAATAATGTGCTTGTTTGAATCTATCGGGCTTAAATTGCGTCAAGGACAATGGTATTACAATCGTGATTGACTCATTGTGTCAACATGATAATTGTGTAGGTTCAGCTATGGTGTGTCTGCTTCATGCTTGATGCATAAGAATCGTAAACATTCAATATCAAGTAGGTACCTACCTACCTATAAGTACTCAAACATTAAAGGAGGTGTGTGTATGGGGACATGTGTCTAATAAATCAATGCTGCAGACCCGTTATTTCAATAATTATACCCACTATAGATTGTAGATAATTTAAGTCCAAATGAGAAATCGCATGTGTCGTGAATTATAACAATAAGGCAATGCGTGATAATCGGCAACTTTGAAAAATTATTAATACAATCAAACATAGTTAAATATTAAAATATATCGAAGATATGGTATTTTTTCGGCAGCATTCTTAACTCAGTGGAGAGGTAGAAGGAAAAATGATAATGAAAGGTGCATTAATTAGGTAATGCAAGCAGACTATATTTTATTGGCAAATTAAGAGTGAGATAGTGAGAAAGTCGCTAAGACCAGCAGATAACGAGTACTAAGAAACAAAAAGCCAAAAGGATCGACTTCGATCATTAAGTGATCTGAGTCATCTACATACTTTATGATCTGTGTTAATGGTTAATGTTTACATAGGTACCTAATAAATTACAGAATACCTATTTACGTATTTACCTATAAGTCTTGTGCCAGTTGACGCCATTAAAATAATTCTAGAAATCGGTACAACATTAGAAACCACTGCATATGGATATTTGGCTGTGTCAATGTCAACGACCCAAGACCTTGAATGTTTTTTAAAAATATTTAGTGTTGTTACATTATCATTTTTTCTAATTGCTAAACGATAACCATACAGCAGCCAAATAATACAATTTTACGATTACGATGTTTGAAAACTGCATCTAGCCTATAAATCGTATATTAAAATCTAGTTTCAAAACAAAAGAAATGTACTCAAGAATGACTAATACTTACAGATAAAAATGATTTCAGTCACACCGCACACATATTTTCTATATCAGTATCTATAATACATTTTCTATTTAAAATGATAATGGATTTGTGTGGCAAACACTTCTGAAATTTACTTTTAACTCAGTACACAGAAAACTATAGATATAGGTATAGTGTTTTGTTGCACATTTGCACAGAGATACAATACTATCTTGACAGACTCAATAAATTATTTTAGTATGATATTATATTGTATGGTGGTAAGCCAATGCGTACTATTTGTCGGTTGCGCGCCAAGCGGACCACATAGGAAAAAAGTTCCTACTTGTGGTACCAACCTGAGTTTAAAACTTAATTATACTAAATAAATACTAAATATAATTTCAGTAAACATAGATAGCAATAGTGAGCTTTTAGTGCATTTTTTCTCTCCTCAAAGTCTATGAATCGTATTCTTTTTTTTTCATAACTTGGTCGCTGTATTATAATGTTGAGTTATACCCAGATTTAACTACCTTTTGGTGGTTGGTATATCTGGGATTTGTCAACCGACTTGACAGAGTGAAATTATTTAAAAATATGTTTGCTACCAATCTTGATGACAGTTTATCCTGTCTAAGTCATTTTCGTTAATAAAATACACAGTATCTATCTATCTCTCCTAAATAGGTATCAGACAGTAGGTTAGTGGAAAAGTATTATAATTAAAGAAGAAATTCAAATGTAAAATTCAAAAATTTAGGATTGCCAACAATTTGAAAAACCGGCACCGACTTTTTTAAGTATAATATTTTATTTGTAATATTAATTAATAATGTCTAATGAATATAAGAATATTTCGTTGATATATTCAAGATGTAAATTTTAATAGACTTTACGAACATATTATTATGTAAAATAATATTGGACATAGGTTTATATTGATCTATCGAGACATCGAGTGTTGTATTTTCGCCTTTGGGTGGGTTAATCTGAAAATCTAAGCTTTAAAACATTATTTTTTGTGTATTTAGTATATCTTTAGTGTGGATATAGTAGTATAGATATGACTCATGAATGCAACAAATAAATTATGAATATTATGAAGCATAACATTCGGTGATTTTAAAAAATCTGGATCGGAATCATCTCTAGGAACTACATTATAAAAAAAAATGTACTGTACATTTTTTAATACATCTTTGTTAAAATAAGGCCCATTTCTTCAGATTGCTAACTTTTTCAAAATTGGAAATCGTTCGTTAATATCTATCTTATATTTGTATTAATTATTAATAGAAAATAGATTTATATATTAGATAAAAATTATATTTTTTAGATCAAGATATTTTAAATCTATTGAAAATTTTTTATGAAATCATTCGAGTTAAATTGTTAAATTAAAGCTAATTTTATTTTACATTCATATTTTGGATATTTTTAACATTTTAGTATATTTGTAATTTATTAGAAGATATTTTTGATCGTAGCTCAGATAGTCAAATATTGGTACCTATAATTTTCACGTACCTACCTCTTATTTCCAGTTATACAGATTTGCCTACCAACTTCCTTGCGTACCTTCTATATACATTATACAATCTACAATTTTATTAAGAGGATGCTACACCCACGCGTATATGTTGTACCTACTATATTTAAAGCAGGTAGGTGTGTACTTATATCAAATTGCTGCACATTTTTATCGTATAGTGTTCTTAAATGCATATTCTGAAGAGTTATTATAGTATAATTGTGTGCATAAATCAGTTCTCTATTATTGTCTATAGACCAGGGGTGGCCAACTTGTCGCTCGGTCATAGTAGTATTCGGCGTTTTTTGCCATACAATATTAAAAAAATATATTTTATTGTTTAATAATACAGATAAATAAACAATAAAATTAGTACAAAAATTGATATGAAAAATTAAAATATGTATAGGTAATTTGACCCAAATTTATTTAATCCGCATTTTTTTAGTGTCTATTTTTTTGTGAGCTCTTTAAGATTTGGTTGCATTATGTAAGAGCTTAGTAACTTAGAGTTCTTAGTAATTCTGTGAGATAATTATCAGTTGTTAAATTTGAACATTATTTTGACTTAATGATCTTCATTGTTGATTAAAGCGATCACACGAATATGTTGTTCCAAAGATTGATATTAATTTCACCGCACAATTTTTAATATTCACTTATTTTGACATAAGATTATAGGAACATGCTTCCAAAATTAAATTATAGTGTAACGATGGTTTTTGTACCGTTTAAGATCTTCATTTCTAATAACTCCAAAAGTTCAATTTCGAGATCCACCTAATTTCTTATTTTCTTACAATAGGGCGTAATAACTTTAATATATATTGGACATCCATTTTCGATGACATTAACTAAAAATGGATTTTCTGGATATCCAAATGAGGGCTTTACAACCTTTAAGTCTTGAAATCGTTCTTCGAAGATGACAAATAATAATATGATACCTAATACAATTGTGTACATGAATCCGTTCTCTACAGACTATACTACTATAGAGTATAGACTAACATATTACTTTAATCGTCGACTCTTCAGTGATGCTTTATGATTGGAATTATCAACAACAGCGGCAGCAGAAGTATGTAGCTACTAATGTACTTTATAGGTAAATGCGTAAATGCCTAAAATTTTTATCAGCTGTTATCTGTATGACTGTATACACTATACCTAGTACTAGAGAGCCTAAATAATATAAATTATCTAGGCTGTATACCAGGGATGGAAAATCCATGGCACAAAAAGATTTTGTGAGCACATGAAAATTTTTACTAATATATATTAGTATTATAATATTATAGATTATAGAATATAGGTAATAGGTAAAAATATTTTGAGCATACGGCTTTTATCGGTCATTATTATGTACCTAAGCTAACCTTTTTGTACATTAATTATATAATTGAATTATAATATAACAAAATATAATTTTTTTCATGGCACGCTCTCAAAAAAAAAAGGTAATTTTGGGCAAGCAGGTGTCAAAAGGTTTGCCATCCTTGCTCTATACCTAGTACCATTGATTATACATAGTATATAACTGTATTATACTAGGTATGTATAATTATTAATTAGTGGTGTAAGTCGGTAATATTACTTTGGTAAAGTATTATAAAGTAAGAAATTTATCGGTAAATTATCTAATCAATAGAAATTACTTTACCATTTTGCGAGTATTTAATTTTTTAAATTTTATTTATCATAATATTTCATTATATTATTATAAATTACAATATTATGACTTGATATTCATATAGTCATATACGATATGCCATGTAACTATGTAAGTGTTATGATGATGAGTAAGAAGAAATAAAACCATGGCGGTCAGTAAGTATTCACGACTTATGATTCTTGGTAGTATGGTAAAAACGAGCTGCGTTCATTTTTAGACACGTATCTATTTTATTCTAACTCTTAATTCTAAAACAACTTACTCAAGACGTATAATCAACAGCAAGATTCTGAGACCTTATTTTAAATTCTTTGTTCCTACGGGTGTGATTTGATTTATTATAATGCTATAATGGTATAACTATTGTTATTAAATATATTTTAAGGGGATTCCACACTACCGTTTTTCAGAGCTTAATATACCTATATGTGTTCCATCCAACGTACTGATTTGAGTTTTGCTCTTTTGAAAATATATTTGAATGTACCTATTATATGTATAGTCTATTCTGAATCATTCAAGTCAGAACCATACAAAATAAACTGAAAACCATTTGTTCCGTTGACATTTCTAAAACTACGAATTTTTTTTCTACATTTCAAATGAGATTTTTTCGTTGTTAAGAAAAATGAATTAAAAATGTGCTTAAAGGATCCAAAGTGGACATTTAAGTAGTTGAATGAAGTAACTAAAGTTAAATAAATTTAATACAACAAAATTTCCTTGTTTTCTGCTTTGAAAAGTGGTCAATATCATCATCAAAACTCAGGTTTGCTTTTATATCACTTAATCACTTTCAATATAGATTATAATATTCCCAGAGCGTCTACATTTTCTTGACTCAATGTAGGTCGTAATCTATTTTTAGTTCTTTTTAATGAAAAAAAAAATGATCTTTCACTGGAGCAATTTGTAACAGGCATCGTAAGAAAAATCTGAAGACACGTTTCTAAATGTTGAAATGCATGTGATGTATTTGCATATCTTTAATGAATTTAAATTGGGCAGCGGGATTTCTTGATATTTGATGAGAAGAAATTAAACTATGTAATTGAGACCATCCATCTGCAAAATTATCGGGATCCAAATCTAGTTAATTTGTATAAGTACATTGATTGTACATTTTTTATTTGGTTGTTAATTTCATTTCTTTCAGGATTTTTATTGAACAATGTAGTCCATATTACGTTTATTCGATTTAGCTATACATTTATCACAAATAAGTAATAACTAATAACATACCTAATGAACATCACTTTTAAACTTCGCTCTTGGATCTAATTGTCTTTCTTCAGAATCAGTATCATCTAAGTGTTTACTTTTTGGTGTCTTTTTTTTCTTGAACTCTGATATTCAATATCCATATATTAAAGTTCTATAGGTTCAAGGATACTATTGAAAGTACATTTTCTGTTTAACTCTGAAGATTTTTTGAAGTTATATTTATTCTTTGTGATATAACATCTCACACAATAGTTAATATAGCGGTTTCCCTTTTTTTCAAAATGTTTATTGCATATAATCGAGTATTGCCATTTTTATTTTTATCTTGAGATATTTCTAACAAAATAGATAAAATATGATCATAATTTTGTCTTAATGCTTTAGTTGCATTAACATTTGCGGATCACCGTGTTTGTGAAGACGATTTAATAGTTAGCGTTTCATTACGTTTTAGATGTTGACATAAAAGTTTTCAATGATGAGTTAAAGACGAAGAAAAGTTATAAACAGATTGAATCGTAGTTCGTACTAAAATATTCAACTACACCGTTACACTTTTCAACTGCATGAACACCGACCAGGTTTAAAGAGTGTGCCGCACACAGCAAAAATAGTGCAAAAGGAGCTAGTGTTCTTATTCTTGTTTGTAATCCTAAGTACTTTCCAGCCATATTACTGGTATTGTCGTATGACTGTCCAACACAGTTTTTATATTTTTAATAATATCTATACCAAAGTCCTTAATTATTTCAACTATAATAATGGTTAAATACTCAGCCGTATGCCCAAAATATGATAAAACAGTATATAATTAATTTTATATGGCCAAAGTTCGAGTGGGCCCAGTGCAAATGTCCCATTTGTCCTTCCATAAATATGGCCCTAAATATAATATAATAATAATAATATAGCCTAATGGTCAAACTGCTGTATCCGCCACACCAATGTATTAATAAGGGGCAAATTGAAATAAATCAAATGAGCTCACTCTAGTCCTAGTGATTCTATCTACAACCATTCTATAAGTTATTTAATATTTCTTTTAGCTATATACTCATTTTCTTGAGGCCTTATCCGCCTATTTAACAATTTAATTAACAGGTATAAAATAAATCGGACGTATACACCAGCACCATTGTATCAGCCATTTATGAATAATACAAATGGTCGTATAAGCCAAATTAGCGGATACGTCAGTTTGAACTCTAGCTTGAATTAACGATAAGTCCCAATTGTAGTAAAAAATAACAGATGGTTTATTTATAAGTTCGCGAGTAAAATGCTGGTGTTACATCGTAAAAAAATAATAGTTTTTTTTTTTATTAAACAAAAGTATATTTACAATCTGTAATATATAATATACAATAAGTAAATTTGGTGACTTAAAATAGTTTAAAAAAACAAAAACAATATAACATTACGTGAGGAGGGAGATCCACCAGTGTGGATACCCTCAGACCTGTAGGGGGTTATTTTTTTTTTTTAAATTAGTATTAGTCGTGATTCAAAAGGTCACGACACCAGTTTCTTTAAGTCGACGAGGGGGTTATCTGGGAGAGATTCACTGGCTGAGTTAGATACTAGCGGATTTGTGTGATTAAATGATTTAGTGTGAAATGTTTTGTAATAATTCTTAGCTGTAGTAGAGACTGTTTCGATTTATAGGTTGTGTAGTGAGAGATTAGAGACATACCATAGCGCGGATGTTATTTGGCGTATAGAGATTGATTGGAAGGCCTGGATGGTTTTTATTTGGGAGGGCTTGGCAAATCCCTATATTTGAATCCCAAAAATAATAGTTATCACAATAATAGATCATAAGTTTGTCCAAAAAAAAAAAATTATCGATCGACGACCAGCGTTTTTATTTTTGTCAAGATAGCGTATCCACCAAAATCAAGATAGGTAATATTATACAAAGTAGACGTATTCGGCATTTTATAAATAATGATTAAACCGATTAGTTATTTTTAAGTTTAAGTTCATCAATGTATCAACTTTGCATAACTGTCCACTTAAATTTAATCTGATTACCTGACTTAGATTTTCTACTGAAAATAATATTCAGGAGGAAAAATTGGTTTTTTCAATACAATGAAAAATTGAGTTTATGGCGGATATGGCCGTTAGACTGTTAGCATAGTTACAATAAATAGTTTACAACAGTTACATTATAGTTTGAAAAGTAAATTGCCCCTATGCAGTATCAAGCTATTATCAGCAGTAATCACACAATGGAAACGTCTTGATGTTTTAAAAATGAAAAATATTATATTATAATATGAGTGGTATATTTCATACAAAAAAAGTTTTGAATACAATTAATGGTATAAATTACATTTTTTATTTAGCAAAATATTACATCTTAATTAATACAACTTTATCAACATACCAGATGCATTAAACATTTACAAGTACAGTTTTATTAATTCGTCGCTTACAGCTGATGGCATTAATATTCCGAGGTCAGTAAAAAGCAAGCTGATGTATGATGGGTGCGTATAATCCACTGAAGGATGAGCATTTAATAAATTATCATCATTTGAATTGTTCTCATTGTACTAAATTGAAAAATAAATGAATAAATTATTACTAATAGATAATAATAGATTTTAGAACATTGGCAATTAATATTTAGCAGTAATAAATTTTTGTAGAATTCAATTAAGGGTAACAATCTCATAAAAACCAAAGAGTAGTATTTTAGTATACCAAATATTACAAAATATATTCTAAATTGAACCTATATTAATAGTTACACATTTTTTATTTTTTTTTAAAATTATATTAATACGAAATTAAATGAAGTCAAATAACTTTTATACCATCATTACTGATGTAAAATCAAATTAAACGACTGAAGTTTTGGTACACTTGGATTTAGAACCAAATAAGATTTATTATGATAATATTGTGTATGGTATCTTCTTAACAGAATAAATTAAAACATAAAATATAATACCTCTAATATATTAGTATGTTAGGTTAGGTCAGATATAGAGTATTTAATAATATTGAGTCTATGAATTGTGTCTAAAAACATGAAGTCATTAAATATTTGTTTCTAATTTCATGTTTTATATACGAAAACAGTTAAAATTGGTCTGTATTACATATTTCTCCAACACGGTTTTAAATACATTTTGTAAAAATAATTGTTTGTTTCATAATAAATCAGTTTTTAGTACATTGTAGGAGAATTTTTATGTCAACTATGTTAATATTCAAAAAAATTTAATAAAAATATATAATAATAATCTAACCAAAGTTATGATTAAATTTAATCTTTATCATGACCATATATGGTTATGAAACAAATTACTTACTTTGAAATTATTAGGTAAATCTTTCTGATTCAGGGGATACATTCGTGAGAATTTATAACTTTCTGTTAACACATAAAATGGTTTTTTGAATTCTTTAGCACAAATAGCCATAGTACAGCTTCCAATCTATAGAAAATAAAATAAAAAAGGATTAACATAAAAAGTAATACATTTCTATTAAAAAAGGATTGTTTCAATATATATTTATATCACTGTGCAGAAGGATGCTTAACTAATCACTTATATATATGATCATTCAGAGGCATAGGTGTAGCATGGCGTGAGGGGCTATACTCCCTTCCCCAGTATATTTTTTTTAGTTACATTTTTAGAATATATTGTATTGTGCACCCGAACATTAAATGCTATAACCCCTCCATATAAATCCATCACACGAGTACACTACGCCTATGATTAGAAGGGTAACAAAGTATAACATCAAATCAATCAGTCATAACTAAGTGTGGTACATCTCTGTATGCATAAAACAAGTAACAATTTTCAGTTCTGTAGTTCAACTTCTATTATTTTCAAGTACTAATTCTGTAATAATAATGTTTGCATTGTTCAACGATTAAAAAATAAAACAATTTTTGTAGGTACAATTAGCCAAGTATTAACTAATGGTTTTGATTATTGGAACAGTCTTACATTTTTGTTTTTTGATTAACGCCAATGTGATAGATCTTTGTGTGAAGTCTTAATATTAATTTAATCAACTTACCAGCTAATGAATGGCAAACATAAGGTAAAAATGGATATTTACCCAGAGATATTCAAAAGAGAGTGGGTAGTCCATTTTATATTATTATATGTATTACAAAACAAAGACTATATTTAAAGTAGCTAGAATAATGTGAAGTTTGTAACATTTTTAATATGATAATAGTATATATATTAATTTATTACCTTGTTAATGATTCCACCACTCTCTACAACACACTCAGCCCCAACCATAACCATATCAACCCTTTCCATGATGTAACCAACAGCAGAATCTAATATCAATGTGCAAGGAATATCAAGTGCCTTCAAACAATTGTACATCTCAATTCTAATAAATAAACAAATGTATTAAAAATATTCTAAAAAATATTTTATAAACAATACAATTATGTATGAATAATTATTTATCATCTAATTAGTAATTACCCGCTTTTATCAGGAGATGATTCTGACACAAAAACATGAAATCTTTTTTGTGAATTCACGGCTAATTTCATGGCTTCTAACACTACTCTAGATTTTGAATGTGTCAAGATATTCTAAAACAAAAATGTTTACAAGAAATATAATAGAAATATATAATCTATATTTAAAGGTATCACTTTTCGCTGTAAATGGGATACAATTAAAATTAATTACACATTTTTTTAAATATATACAATAAAATAATAAATAACAATAATTAAATATAGGTATAAAATCTATTTAGATTTCTGCATATAATTAAGTACACGTGATAAGAGGGGTGAAATAATTTTGAAGAGAGAAGCTAACCATAATTACATGATGATTCAATTAAATTTACTTATTATTGAAATATATTGTTAGTCATTAGAGGCATAATTACAGGTAGGGTTGTATGAATGAATATACGGAGAATTATTTATTTAATCATTTATTAATCTAGGAGAATTTATTTATATATGTTACGCATTAAAATAATTTAAATTAAATTATTATATCATCTATGTTAATTTTACTGAAAAATATCCAAATATGACAATTTATTATAATATACAATATGCATGTTTTAATACTTACAGTGCCATCAACAAAGAAAGGAAGAGTAATTTTGGCCACCTTATTTCTTGCATCGGTAAGTTTCTTCAAAAATACTTTTCCTCGGTCCAACATGACTTTTTTACATTCCGCAAAAGTCTAAAATTAAGTACATAAAAGTATGCATATTAACTGAAATACATTTGAGGTTTCAAATTTAAATTTTTTGCTCTTGATGCTATTATAATAGAAATAACAAAAAGATAGATTCTAGAAAATAATTTACTAAAAAAAGACTAAGTAATATTTGAATAAAAATTAAATCTTATTACTCTATCATCATTTTTATACACCAAATAATTGTATTAAAATAAAATATATATACAATATTTTTTTTAAAGTCTCATAAATAATGTACATTGTTATTTTATTTACGCATTTTATAGAACAACTGGTATATTTAAATATATAATTAATCATGATAGCTGTATAACTCTTATATAATGTTATTTATAATTGATATTTTACAAACAATGAAACAAAAAAAACTTTATAGTATCACATTAACATAGTGACATATTTTATAACATTTATTAATTTACACTAAAGTGTAATATTATATATTCTATATTATGTTACATAAAACTAAAATGTACAACATACATTTTATAGCACACAGGAATCTACTAATTGCAAACATTAAAGATAAAGACAAATAATGGTTTTTAATTAATAATTTTATGTTCAATTTTTTTCTTTTCAGTGGACTCAGAAACTTGACCCAAATTTGTCAAGACTATATCTTCATTGAGAAGATATGAGGTATCATCTTCAGCATCATCTTCATCACTTATTTGTGGGTCAATGAGTTCTTGCATTATTTTGATCAAATCTAATGATTGATTTTCAGTTAATAGTTGGTTATCTAATTCAGCATAATTAATTGAATCATTGCCAATCAAGCGAATCAACAATGCTTTGTAATCATTAGTTGCAAGATTATCTTCTGTTTGGTTTTCACCTGAGATCAAGATACCAGATTTAATAAAACTATTTCTAACTGTTGATCTTTTGATTTCATTAATAGCATATTTTATCCAAAGAATTGCATGTAGCATATTGATTCTATTTAATGATCCAGAACCGTTGTCCATTATTGATAACTGATGTTTTAATACACATTGACGATATAAAATTTTAAAATTTTGAATAACTCCTTGCTCCAAAGGTTGACAGAAAGATGATAAATATGGTGGGAAAAATATTAGTTTAATCGATTGCAAATTGTTAAGCAAAGGATGAGAACTTGCATTATCTAAAAAAAGAACTATATTTCTTTTTGATTGAGTCATTCTGTAATCAAAATCTAAAAGCCACTCAGTCATAATGTTACGTGTCATCCATGCTTTAGTGTTGGACTTCCAAATAATTTCAAGGTTGTCTATATTAATGTCTTTAAAACAATTATATTTTCCAACCTTTCCTATGATCAATGGTTTTTCAAATTCTCCATCTATGTTAGTACATAGCATAATGGTCAGTCTCTCCTTTGATAAATTCCCATCAATACAGGTCTCGTTTATAAAGCTCATTGTATTTTCAGGGAGAATTCGATAAAATAGGCCAGTTTCGTCACAGTTAAATATATCACAGTCCTTATAACCTTTAATAGTTTCTTTTACACTATTTAACCATTCTGTAATAACACACTCTTTTAGTAATGTAGGATTTGCATAAATATTTTTATAAGAAATCTGATGCCTGTCTTTAAATTTTTGCAACCATCCATTAGATGCTTTAAAGTCATTGAGGCCAACTTCTGATGCCAATTCCAATGCTTTTTCTTTTAATACTGGACCCGAAATCGGAAAATTGTTGACACGAGCATGTAAATACCATTGAAATATCACAGTGTCAATTATTTCACCATCCGATTTTGGAAATTTGCGTTTTGATTTTTCGCTTCCTTGCTCCACAAATGTTTGTGATAAATAAACTTTATTTTTTAATATATCACTAACCTGGGTTTTTCCAATATTAAATTTTTCAGCTACTGCTCGCACTCCAACATTTTCTGCTTCCACAAATTTTATAATTTCAATTTTTTGTGCCAAAGTTAGTCTTTTTCGTTTTCCACAAGACATAATGGTGTACACGTATACACACACACACACATATATATATAGATATATATACTTCTTAAATGTAGAAACTATGAATAACTATACTTTATTTAACTGATAATTATTTCATTGTAGGCTATACAAGCCATAACACAGATGAATAATATTCATAGATAATATTTGTGGTCTATTTGCACCATTGATTAATGTAAAATCATATTTATCTTTACACTTGTTGGTTATTAAAAACACAAAATATATCACAGTTGTATTGAAGGGTCCAATAAGTAAAGAATACTTAAGGCCTATCTAATAAGTATATTTTTGCTGGGACCCAATAAAATATCCATTAATAAGTAGTCCGCTATTGTGAGAAGTCCATAAATATAGGTTCACTGTCTAAATATTCAAAATGAAACTTAATTAAGTAAAATATTAGTAACACAATACATTTAAAAATACTTACAATATTATCCAATTTAGCAAATGTTATAAACCTCATAAATAATGCACATCCAGAAGATACACCAGTAATACGGAAACTACCATTTGTAATTACTTCTACTGCAGATTGCAAATTCAAATCTAGTTCTTGTACAGTTTCAGCTAAACATAAAGAAATAAAAAAATCAATAATCTCCTACATTTATTATTATCAAATGTATAGTTGTCACAATAAATACAAAAATAATGATCAATCATTAAATTATTTTCTTCATTGTAAAAACACAAACCCTTCTTTATTCTTGTGCCAAATTTAAAAATTAATAAATTTAATTGATGGTGTTGTAACTTGTAACTTTGAATGGCAATGATATTAAGTTATCTAAGATGTTTATGATTTGCAACCTGTACATAAATCCATCTATTTTCTAAGTGTACTTACATTTATCATCTTCCAATAGTCTCAATAATGTAGTGATTGCTGCTATACTAGCACTTATATCTGACTCTTTTTCCATAATATTATTAAAATATTGAGCAACCTCTGAAAAAAATATAACCTTATATTATTACATAGAATTTTAAATAATTATAAATGTATGATGTTTATGCTGGATTTAGTTGAAAAATTGGCACATATATCATAAATGTAATACTTTCTTCTCCATATTTTTTATACAACTACCACATCAAATGAAGAGTTATAGTTTTCCCATACATAATAATATATTGTCATTTATTAATTTAAGTAAACTAATAATTTTAACACAACTTTGAAATGAAAACGTCTTAATATCATTTTAATTGTCTTAAACACAAAAATCTTTTGGAAATATCAAAGAATATTCTATTGTTTGTATAGGGTATATAACAGATTACATCCAGGCATTATAAGGTCTATGATTAGTGATTACATCTAATTAGTTTTCTTTTTTTATTATTAGAAATATTATTATTATTGCTATTGTTTTAAATATTAAATACTATCAAATTGATATCATCATAATAAATCATCATAATTTTATTCTTTCTTAAGAATAAAAAAAGAACTAAACAGAAATATAATTTAAATGCCTTAATTAGAAAATGTTTTGTGTTGTGATAAAAATGCTCCCTTTGGACCAAAGGGAATGAACATCGTTGTATCAATAGTTTTTAATATTAATGCAATAAGTATTAAAATATTGGTATTAGTATACATAAACGTGAAAAAACACATTCCAAAACATTAATCATGTTATTCAAATTAAACATGCATTTTATGTAACATATAATGACTTACCTTTTTTAAACATTAGTTAAACACAAACATACAATTTTTTAACTAATAAAGTAGGTAACAAGTTTCAAATAATGAATAATTTCTCTGAAATAATTTATTACCTACTGTAAGTGAAACGTTTAAATCAGCAAGCAGAATAATTATTAACTAACTGAATATTATGCCACCGAAATTATTAATTTTTAATAATTTGAACTAATTACCTATTAACTATAATATCATATTATTATTTAAAATAATTTGTTATGTATAAAAATGTGTATAGTAGTTGATGAATGTCAAGTGATGACATCAACAATCAACTAAATAGTTGATGTAGTTCTGTAGACAGCTATAACTGTTGGCTGTAGCAGTGTAGCACGAAAATTGTAGATTTGTACTTTGTAGAAGTAAAAATATGAAGTATGTATAACTAGGTTTGTAGATAAAAAATAAAAATGAAAAGATTAAAAAAAAAATAAAATCTCGTGATATACCTACAGGATCACCAGATATTGTGACTCGATCAAAGTAAACAATAGTTTACCACACGTTACCTCGTTACCATGTTTTTGTTGATAGTATTATCAATTTCGTTAACAGCACTGTTATCACTAATTGTGTACCATTTCTAGATTTTTAAACCTGTACAATTTGAATGTTCAAATACAACTTACACAAGTAGTTTTAGAAAAAAATAATTTACAAGACAAGTGTAGGTACCTAGTTTTTAATTTGTTATGTTAGCGTCCAATTTATAATATTGAATTGGGCGATATATCGAACATGGATCAAGACAGGGCCATGAAACTGTACCTGAATGGTGCGACAGCGTTTTTTCTCGACATACCGTCAGGCATGGAATTTGGCATCGATATGATGTCCTGGGCGACTGGTGATAAATTCAAAGGAATCAAAATGATACCTCCTGGTATACATTTTGTGTACTACAGGTGAAATGAATAAATGTATTATTAGTGACTTCAGGTTACTATTTAAAGCTGTTTGTAATAAGTAGATCATATTTAATGACAGTCTCATTTTTACAGTGCCACTGATAAGTATGGTAATACTGCTCCACGTTGTGGTTTCTTTCATAGTTTTAAAAAAGGTGAATGTCTTGTAAAAAAGTGGGATACAAACAATGAAATGTTGGTAGATGTACCCAGATTGGAAGTAGTGCAATACAAAACAAATACCTTATATTTTGATGACTGTTTGGGACCATATCCATATGAAGAACTATCGAAATGGAATGGTTTATCTTCATTACTAACTGGTATGTATAACTGTAAATCTATGTAACAATATACTTCTAGTCATCAGTCATTTATTTTTCATTCTAGAAAATTTAATACAAAAATTATGCCCTGAAACAAAATTAATCCGATCGGCAATGGAGTTATTTCCTACATCGGTAAAGGAAAACACAAAAAAAAGAAGAAAATGGGGTCCTATTAGAAGTGAAACAGATGTTGGATATGAAAATTTGCCCAACTTAGTACCGAAAGAAGAAAATAAAATAAGGTGAACAACATTTTGTTAGTTTGCTTAACATTATATTATAATTTATTGATTTATATTTATTTGATGTTAATATGATTTAGATTTACTGAACCTCCAGAATGTCATTATCCACCTGGTTCATCACTTTCAGAAATCACTAAATATTCACTTGATACTTCATACATACTTGATTACATGGCTGAAAAACATGATAGGTTATTATCAAATCTTTATAGTTACTAACCACAGAATTAAATGAGTACAATATGTTTTTATTTTATTTTTTTCAGTAAAATAGATTTATTAGCCGAACTACAGTTTTCATATGTTTGTTTTCTTCTTGGTTTAAGTTATGAGTCTTTTGAGCGCTGGAAGAAGCTGTTTCAATTATTTTGTATGAGTAAAGATGCTATTGCTCAAGATCAAAACTTTTTTGCAAAGTTTTTCATAGCAGTACGTCATCAGCTAGACACAATACCTGAAGGTTTTTTGGTCGATATTGTTGAAAATAATAATGTTATTTATAATGGTCTAAAAGAATTATTTAGAACATTAGAAACTTGTGATCTTATACTGGAGGATGATCTCAAAGATGGCACAATTCAAATAAAGAGATTTTTGCAACAAAAGTTTGGTTGGGAATTCAATGGGTTAGATGAAGAGGATGACGACGAAGCCCCTGTTGTTGTGGACTGTACTGAAGATTAATTTTGAACTTTTATTATTTAAGATCTTACCAACATATTATTACTTGTAATACAATTTTTTAGTTTCTATAACTTTATTAAAATTAATTATATGAATATAATTTATTATATCCTAAATTAGATATTATAAAACTTTAAAACTGAAATAAATTTCTGAGTTATTTGTTTGTTTCTCCTAATATTTTAGTCAAATAATGGTAGTTAAATATTAAATATTTCTCTTATCATATTTACAATTTACTAATGTCCGAACAAAAATTAAGAGGTCATGTGGCCTACAACTACTGGTAGGGGGAGAGAGAGTATCGACTGTCGAACACTGGGGCCCCAGCCTAATTTATAAAAGCTTGATTCCATATTGTATTTTGATGGTAAATATTGAAATCATAATACTTAGATATATGGAAAAAAATTAACGAAATATGGTCCAATACATTTTAATAATGATAAAATAAAATTACCAAGAGCACAATGTAGAAAAGTATAATTTAAAAATCTATGTATAACATATATTATAATTGGGGACAAGATTTGAATGCAAATTACATATTTTTCTGAATGTCCGAAAACATTGCTTTCCAAGCACAAAGTTCATTTTATACAATAAGGAATTTAAATATGTAACTTTAATTTTGCATTTTTTTCTAGTTCCTAAGACTATTACTTTTTTGAGCATTTTTTGACATTTTTAGTGCAATTTTATGTTTTAAAGTCATTTTGGTATAGGATTGGATAAAATTCAATAAAAATTAAGTAACATAATTGGTTCCAAAAAAAAAATAAAAATAAATATTTATTAATCATAAGTTATTATGTTTTTACCGGTCAGATAAATGTGATGCCAGAAAAAATTATTGTCGATACGTGTAGTCACTAAGGTACATACATACATACAGCATACCTGGAATATGATGAAAATAATATGAGTAATAATTTATATAAATACAATTAAACACATTTTTTTCAATATTAAAAATAATAAGAGCTTTTTTATAGTGCATTTTTAAAAATAATTTCTGTTGTGAGTACTTTAAATTATTATTTTTAAGGGTTTTTATTTTGTTTTAGGGCATATTTGATATTTGATAATATAATTATAATATATTTCTGTTCCCTAAATATATTATATTATCTGGGATCGTCATGAATATATTGTATTAAAATATTAAACCATATTAGGTATTCTATAAATAGTGTGCAGAAGAGTAATGTCTTGCTAAAAAAGTGCATGGTTATATACTAGGGAGTAGGGACCTACCTAAATAAGATTTCCGTCTTTCACGTAAAATTAAACTTATCATAAGGTAAAAAAAAATTGTCTCACTTCGCTGGTGGGATGTGAAATCTCTGGAGCCTGGGTCGCTTAAATTAAAAAAAATCAGCTTAAACCTTACGGATATACATATTTAGCCATATAATATTGATGAGTTATGATAGCCTGTGAAGATGAGAGCAACATGCCATAAACGACAATAAAGGTAAGGAATGTGGTCTATAATAGACAAAATCTCATTCGTCCGAGTCCGACCAACGAAAATCGGTTATTCGACTTTCGAAATTCGAATACGCTATGCACAATGCACAGGCGTATATTTTACCGAGAGTCATCACAATTCCTTGGTCTCAAACAGTCAGGGTCAAACTACAAAATAGTTTATAGGGCATAACTATTTCACTGATTGCCAGATTTTGACAAACACACAAAATAATTGGCTCAATAACAGGAATGATAATATTTATAAGATTTTGCAGAGTTTATTTGTTCCTTCCAATATCAATTTGTTTGTCTACTGATAAAGTGGAGATTTTTACAAATACTTAGAAAGTTTTCTGAATCTAATATACATTTTGACTTTTGTATAGTATTCTAGATGCGAGTGATTTTTGAAATATTCTAATGCGTGTATCCATCCAGTTGACATATTTTTTTGTAACTAATGATTCTATAATGTTTGACTACTAATTTAAGCACAATTTGTTAAAAACGTTACTCATAATTTACATTACGCACTCCATTATCTATATCAGAATACCTACATTAAGGAAAGTTAGTGAACCAATTTTATTGAAACTTCAGTCGAATTTTACTACAAGGAAGCTCGTTACTCCTATCGAGCATTCATTTCCAATATAATATCTTTACGCGCGTATGCATATTGTAATAATGTTTCATGTTTGCCGATACTATAATATTATATTCTAATGAATATTAAAAAAAAATATATTAGAATTTCAAGTGCCTATAGAAGTTTTATCTTTTCCAGCAATACATGATATTTTCACAGGGAAATTATCATCTTCATCGGAAATCCCAATTCTATTTAAAACATCATGTATTTAATTTTGAGTCAACGTTCTTTTGACGTAATTGAAAATATCGTGAATATTTATTTGGGACTCGGACAACGTAGGGATAGGGATCGTAGGTACCTAAAACTAAGACTACCAACTGAGACTGTTTTATTATGTATATCAACAACTTTTTCTGGTGTGCCTAGGTGGAACATTTCTAGAAGATTTGAAAAAAGCCTGAATATTGGGTTGTTTTTAGGAGTCATTAATCTTTATTGTGATCTGATTAGAATAGTATAAAAAGCAATAATATAAATATAAATTGTATATATAGATACTGCATAGAGTATACCTACCTATAAACTACGAGCATTTAAGTACACACATTTGAGTATTTCCTATTATGCTTGAATGCTATGNAAACTACGAGCATTTAAGTACACACATTTGAGTATTTCCTATTATGCTTGAATGCTATGTGATTATTATTAATAAATAAAATAATGTTAATTTTATTATTTTTATTTGTTATTCAAAAGTACAATAAAAAGCAATGTGCTTACTTCAGTAGGTTATTGACTTTAAAAGTAGTCGAGATTTTTGATGGAGATCACTCAAGATCAGTAAAATTTCAGAGTATATAGGTACATTCAATCACATTCGAATACAAACCAGGTGCTCCCTATATCCTGATATCCATTCCGCAGCGGCCTGAGTCAGAATAGTAGCTCACACAGCAAGGTACAACGATGTTAATTTGCCCACGAACTGAGGCAAATTGGAACTATCTCACCGTATTTGGAGTATTTTATGATTGCGTATTTTATACCAGGTGAAGTCTGTGTTATACAATTAGTTTGGATAAAAAAACAAAGATATAATAGTATATTCGATCAATATTTTAATATTCTAATATTAGGTAAAAACTTAATGAAATACATTAATATATTATAAATAAAAAGTATGGAATTTAATTTTAAAAAACAAGTACATAAAAAGTATAATATAAATAGGTAATTATGTAAAAAAATTGGATTAAGTTGACTTAGAATTAGATTTTAAACAAAATGTGTACATCAACATTTATAGATCTATTAGTTCAAATAAAAACAAGACGAGTTTCCTTCCAAAAACATTGTCATCATTGTAACAATTTAAATAACGTGTGCATTTTGCACATATGAAAACTACAGTCATTGCCTATCGGTATTTAAGCATGTTAAATATTATTATCATAAGTCTAAAGTAAAAGGGTTTTAAACCTAACAAAATCGTGTGAATATTTTGGAGCATATTCACGCATAAATTTAACAAGCCTATAACTTATGAATAATATTAATGAAATAAATATTAATATTACAGCAATCACATCCAACAGAAAATATTGATACCACGCTAGATTAAGTCCGTGGGATTTTACATGATGCGCTCCTTTATGTCGAATAACATACTCCGTCCAATAAACAACTGATTGTTCTGGTGACATAGGTCGATCTTTGAAACGTTGAGAGGCAATTTTCGCATTTATCGTGTATCTAAAAAAAAATCATATTCAATTTACATTTAATATTAATTAATCATATATGACTTATAGAATTATTTATAACTATAAAAGATATTATTAGATTTCAATAAAATATTAGGTGTATTATTTTATTTTATAAACTTACTTTTCGTTGCTTATGAGTGTTACGATATTCTTTAACAGTTTCTCTTTGTTGATTGCGAACAGGTCCATACTGATTGCCATCTCAGCAATAACTAAGTTGTCTATATTTCTTGGCTGGTCGAAAAACAAGGGAAAACCTAGTACAGGAACTCCACCGTCTACAGCTTCATAAACTCCGGATATTCCTCCATGACTAATAAATAATTTTATTTTGGGATGCACTATGTACAAAGTTATTAAATTAATAATTATCAATGAATATGTAAATTAGGTAACTTATTAAAATATCTTACGAAGAATATCACGTTGAGGAAACCATTTTTTTATCATCACATTCTTTGGAACGTCTTTCATTTCACCTTCATACTTCCATAAAACTTTTTGTGGGACATTCGCAAATGCTTCTTTAAATGATTTTATAATGTGTTCTGGTAATGAGGAGAGTTGAATTATTGAACCAAATGTGAAATAAATCACTCCGTGCGGTGAATCTTCAATAAAGTCTAACACATCCTAAAATGGACAGAGACAATATTTTTACAATTTTTCATGTTTTTACAAAATCTATGCAATTAAAAATAATTATTCAAAATTCCTATATAATTCTACAGAAAATAAAAAGAATAGTATAAATATGAAATTTACTATATGGGTATCTTTGTCCTTTTTACACTATTCACCAATATAGGTAATATTTTTTTTTAACATTAATTTTACGTGTAATAGTTATTTTAGATAAGGAATTATTCGTATTTTCTTGATAAAAATAGAGAATGCAAAGTTTACTTACTTGTGGTATACCTTTTGGTGGTTTTAAGTGAATACCACCGACGTCAACAAGATTTGGTGAAACAGGCCTTGAAGACTCAGTTATATAGTGTGAGTTTTGAAATATTATAGATGGATGAACCTTAGGAGATACGTCGTATGGTCTTGGATCAAAAGCTCTCAGCATAAATTCATCGTATGTGGTAATTAGCATACTATACGCCAAAAGAGCAGTATTCGCTGCTCTTTGGACGAATGTTGTGGGAACAGCTTGTTGTGCTAATAAATTGGAGACAACCGCGGGATTCGAGATGTCCCCGGTAAACGTGCGTTCCGCGTACGTAATCATTGGGGATGGGATCACATATATTATCGGTAAGTTCAGTCTGCTTGCCAAGTATGACATGCAGTCAACACTCAATGGTTCCATGATGATCACGTCGAAATCTGCCTTGTATTTACCGCGGATTACTTCTTTGAACTGTCGGTTTCCGTAAACCGAATCGCAATATCGTCTGTTCAACCCAGTCTTCATATTCATGTACACGATTGGATTGCCGTAAACGTCCAATGTCGCTTTCATATCTTTTGCCATTAATATCGGAAAATTTTCTGACAAATCCACTTCCGTGTAATTGTTACGGTCGCCGTCCGGAAGCGGGGTGAACACGGTTACTTTATGACCGGCGTCCGTCAACGCCCGGAGCACAGCGCTCATAAAGTTCCAGTGGCTTTTACATCCGAGCGTCTCCACGGCTAATATTCTAGCATTCTCCACGGGCAATATCCACCGATTAGAAGTAGTAAAGAATAGGACCAATATAACGATGAACGAGCGACTGCAGTTTTTTAAACTATTAACCATTGTGATGTTTGAAAAAACTTTAAATACAATAAAGTTTGAACTTAGAAAATTTTTAATATGTTATTATTTCGGTAGGCTGCAACAACGCACGAGATGCAGTGTTAATAACTACTGTATCCACTGATTCACTGTATTCAGTATTTATACACTGGTAAATTGACATAATATATTTTTAAATATAATATATTATTATTAATCAATTAAATCTGATGTCATATTAAACAATAAAATATAACACTCAAATGAAATGACTCGAGTGATAATTATATAATTTAAATCAACATATATTTTTCTATTTTTAATTAATAAGATTTAGAAAACGCATATTTTATTTCCCAACTTGGGTAATGATAACGTCAACGATTAAATTAATTTTCTAAATATAGCTAAGTAATTATATTTTAAATATTGCATTAATAGTTGACACAAAAAATAATAATATAATAACAAGTAAAATATTCAAGTGCTCGAATACTTTTTGAATTACAACAAGATAATACAACCATAAGATTCGTTATTTTTCGTTGGACAATACTAATTTTGTTAACATTTCAACTTCAAACTTTTGAAGTCAAAATTTGTCGTTGCTTAAAATATAATGTCTAGTTATGTCCGTTTTTGATAATTTTTCCCTAATTTAAAAATAGCACTTGATTTTTCAAACATTAGATGAAACAAGCACTCTTCTAATTTATTAGTGGTGGATATTATTTTTCTGTTCGTACCTGTAGATGAGAAATACATTGGTAATGTGGGGGACACAATTCATTTACCCTGCAAAAACCATTATTTTTTAAAATTAAAAAATGATTGTCATTTTTATCAAACACTTTTGTTACACCAATTGTGAGGCGGTGAGGTTTCGTGTACTATTTCAAGTGGATAAGTGGATTTATGTGTTGTACACTATTGTATATTTGTATCTTTTAGAGATGTGTGCGTTGAGTTAGTTTTCTGGCTCCCACTTCAAGCCATGGACTATGAATTCCTAGAAAGTATTTTTATTTATTACAAATGTTGGTGCAATTTTTATTTAAGAAATTCTGAGAATCGCAGAAATGTATAGCAAGTAAATTGTAAATTGTTTAAACAATTTCAGTGGGTGAAAGGAAGCTATTTGAATCAAATCAACCAAGCCCCAAAAAAAAAACATTTTATTTGAAAACTATAAGTATGCATAAGCTAAAAACTCTATGGAATCAATAAGTTACATCTAGATGTAGAACAAAAAAAATTAATGTTAAATTTTTTTAAGTAAAGGTGTTCTTTACACCTGCAGTTGATAAATGATAACCACTGCACTTCATGTTTTAAGTATATTATATTTTTGAATGTTACTGTTGAAGGATTTCTGATCGAATTAAAAAAGTCTAAGGAGGTAATGTTTAGTTAACTATTTCATGTGGATAAGTAGATTTGGGTGTAGTTTCAAACTTATGTATCTTGTATAGAAGTGTTTGTTGAGTTGGCTTCCACCTATAGTGATGGTCTACAGACTTTCCAGACATCATTGTTATTAATTTTATTACAAGTGGTTGTGCAATTTTTATTAAGTGAATTCTGAAAATCACAAAAAATTATTTCAAACGAAAAGCAAAATGTTTGAAAAATAAGAGAAGTCTTCGCTAATAGTTGGTGGAGTAATCATACAAAATAAGCAATATCAATTTTTTTGATTTTTAAAATTTAAAATATTTGTTTTTCAACCAAATAATTATAATATCATTATTATTTCTAGATTTGGAGTGTAGTGGATAAAAAAATAATAGGTATAATCGTTAAATACAAAAATATTTTATTATTTACAAAGCTTTTAGTATAATATTGAGTATACAATATCCATTCAAATTATGTGATTTTTACTTTTAGCATTAATTTGTTTTTTTTTTTAGGAACGGTGATCAACTATTTATTAATATTCCAGTAAATTTAAATTTACTATCAGTAGTTATTACTACAGTCTACAATTATCATCAGATTAATTGTCAGATGCTAAAAATATTTAAAATCAAATTAAAAAAGTTCAACCTCATATGAATTTAGACGTATAAGTGTGTAACTACAAAAGTACTTGAATGAGTAGAAAATAAAGAAGAATCAATTGTGAATATTTTAGCCTTGCATTTACGTTTGAGTTTGAATCAAAGTCTACAGTTTTCAGTAGATGATAAATCTGTTTTTGCTAGCTTTTCTTTAATCGTTGCTCGTTTTTTTTAATAATAAACATAATTATAATTATACATAATTTATTATAATGTGTTTTTAACAAAATTTTCATCAGAATACTTGGTGCCATTTTGTATGTAATACATGAATTGAGGATTTTACAATAATTGATTTAATAATTTTTAAAATTATCAAAAAAATTACAAAACAACTGGATATTTTCAACAACATTGCTTTCAAAGATCTTAAATTGTTCACAAAAAATTGTGTATGCGTTTTCTAGAGATATTGTAATTGTCTGATTTTGATTTTTTTTTTTTAGTTACGTAGTTTTACTATTTGAAATTATGTTATTTTCATCGAATCACGTGAATACAATTTTTTTTGTTCGTTAAACATTTTGAAAATTATATACAATATTCATCAAGTACCTGACATAGTATGTTATAATATCCTATTATAGAGTACATACATTCAATTACCAAAAAAATCAGTAAAATTTCATCTAAATTCATACAATTAAAAATTAATTTGGGAGGAGGGATGATATGATATTCCTTTTGGCTTTTTTACTTGTCTCAAATGTAAATATACGTAACATAAGCAGGTGGCGCATTTTGAAGTTTTTACCTTGGTGTAATATTTAGTCACTTTAGTACGGCCATCTCATGTACGTAACTATATAATTCTCATCAGAGGCCTATTATAGTCTTTATGTTTAAAAAGTTGATATAAAGCACTTTTGGAGACCAACATTTTTTTTAACAGCCCGATTTTTAATATAAAGAGTATATTACAAAATATTTATAAATATAAACGTTTCTTATTACTACCTATTTAATATAATAATAAAAGAAATGTTTCATATTACCTATAGTCTATATAGTATAGGTATCTAACTAACTACTCTTAAGATATTTCATTTTTCTTTTTAAGCTTCAGAAATAATTCTTAAGAATTAAGATATTGTTTGTAATTAATTATTGTGTTACTCTTCTTTACCAATCATTATAAAATAAAATAAAAATATAATTTTTATATTATACTAGCTAAACCCGTGCACTTCGTTGCTCGTTAAAAATGCTAACTCCGTGTGATACTCGCTTGTGATAATGCGAGCAGTATATTATCAGGTAGGCAATCCAACTGTGGTGGATTGTAGACCCCCCTAGGTGCATACTTTATAATATGTTTCATTTCTATTTTTATTTTGACTGTGGAAACGCCGATGAGCGGCTATAAGTGCAAATCAGCCACCTTGGAAGGCAATTTGCATACATTTGATTTGATGCATGGTTATACACCCAATCTGTCCGATAACCAATGGTAACCAAAAACCAAAAAAATACTAATTTCTACTAAAAAATTAAGAATAGATTGTCGAATTTTACTTCTCGGAACAATTAATATCTACACGCTGATCTATTTTGAATTTTATCGCGTCGCCCGCCCGCAAAATCCCCCTAGGACGCAGCGTAATTTGACGGACAAAAAGGACAAGTTGCAGGTATCTGAAAACCCACGGGCCCCGCTGTGCCGTACAATCTATCTATATATAAATAGAAGAAAGTCGTGTTAGTTACACTATATATAACTCAAGAACCGATTTGGATAAAAGGTATCCTATTATGTTGGTCTCCTGGTTCTAAGCTACCTCCCAACCAATTTTCAGACAAATCGGTTCAGTCGTTCTTGAGTTATCAATAGTGTAACTACTACGACTTTCTTTTATATAATATATAGATAGATATGTCATAGGAATAATCCTTTTTTTCCCGTTTAACCTGTAGCAGCTAGAGGAGGCTCTGTTGTGACAATACTTCTCCTCTGTTGACATAGTTTATTGGTGAACAAATTTAAATACAGATAATATAATATAACATTGAAATATATAAGTAAAATATGACGATTGCGGCAATCGGATTGCCGATAGAGCTCAATCATCTTCCAATATACACAAAAAGATATCTAGCAAGGTCTCTCGCTAGTTGCTCCTATTCTCGGCTCGATGTCGCACGCACCCGCAGGTCTGGGTTCCCGTCAGATGTTTGTCCAGAGAGGGAGAACGCTTAGTCGTTTGCAGTGACTACACTTGGATTTCCTCTTACTTCAGACCTCGGCTAGCCTCTCATCTTGTTCCTTGCAGCTAAGTTTGTCTTCAATCATTTTGAAGAAGACCTGCGTGGCAAGCTGAGAGGTAGCCTGTATTCGACCATTCATGCAAACCGGGACATCAGTGGGAACTCACAGCAGATCCTGTACGTCACTTATTGGAGTGATGTTTCGGTTGCCGATGAACCCATTCACTGCCATCCTAGAAATAAGCCTTAAAAAAAAAGAAAAAAAAGGAATATTGGGGATATTCATTCTAATTATATTAAATAGTATTTGATTTAATGTCAATAAATTAAATTTAACATTTTGTTATTATTTATTGCATGTAAATTTAAAGCACGTAGATATGGAATTTTTTAAGGCTGAGTTTTTTTTTTGTGTGGAATTTAATTAAAACTAAAAGCCATGTTCATGTACAAAATGGAGGTATCTACCGAAAAAAAACTAAATTAAAAAAGGCTCGTTGAGTTTGAGTACTTGAGTTATATTATATTATATCTTAGATACAAACTGTACTTTCACTCAGTTTCCTTTTATCAAAAAGAATATAATATATTACCTAAGTATTTTTTTCTATTATTACATAATATACTTTTTTTTTTATTATGTTTGTATGTACATTACACACATTGCACAGTATTGTAGGTACAATATAATATAATATTCATTATGCTATTTTCCTTCTTTTTTTTTCATCGATAGTTTTGCACGTCTTTATTAATTATAATTTATGAAACCCACATCAGTAAAATAAATTATATTCAACAACGTTACTAAAAGATCGACGATCGTCTGTATAGCCGAAGCAACCGTTAACTTATCTTACGT